TCCCAGCCTGAAATAAAATTTACATCTTATTGTCCCCTAGATTGACAAAAAATTACGAAAGGAATATATACAAACGGTATGTACCTTCTCAAAGTCTTGGCCACGGACAGCTTCATTCTTCTCCTTTGTTATCTGCCTAAGCTCCTTCTCAAGCTCCCTAGCTTCCTCAGGGACCTGCATAAATGAGCAAGTTAAACAATGATCAAAATATGAAAATGGTAAACTAACAGAAACCTGGCATGTGATTCCACCATACCTGTGCATGACGAAGTCGAACCCGAGAACCAGCTTCATCGATCAAGTCAATTGCCTTGTCAGGAAGGAAACGATCACTGGAATCAAAGGACAATTAGATGTAAGTAATATTTATGACACCCTTACTTAAACTACTAACAAGTAATCTGAGAGATCCGCCACCTAATATACTGGTATGACAACTGTGCAGCTGCTACTAAAGAATCGTCAGTGTAACGAAGCTTGTGGTGAATTTCATATCTCTCTCGCAGACCCTTAAGAATCTGAATAGTTTCATCCACGGTAGGTTCAGGTACTTTCACCGGCTGGAATCTTCTTTCCAACGCAGGGTCTTTCTCAATGTGCTTTCGGTATTCATCTAATGTTGTCGCTCCAATGCACTGTCATGATTATTCAATGATTAAATTACTGATAATAAATAACACAACTGTAAGAGTATTGTCATGTAAAACGGATCAAAAAGAATAATTACCTGCAATTCACCTCTAGCGAGAGCTGGTTTTAAAATGTTAGCTGCATCAATTGCACCTTCCGCTGCTCCAGCCCCAATCAAAGTATGCACTTCATCGATAAATAAGATTATCTCGTCGCTCTGTCTTATTTCCTCCATAAGCTTCTTTAATCTCTCTTCAAACTCTCCACGATATTTTGTTCCAGCAACTAGAAGACCCATGTCAAGTGTTATAACCTGAAGTCAAACAAAAAAGAAAACGCAAGAACCATCAGATTGCTGTTACACTACCCAGCATAATCACAGGAAATTAAGGGTGACCAGAATCTAAACTGTTAAGTATGTTGTTCATATTATTACGATAACAAAAACAAATCAGCATGGGCATTCTCTCAGAAAAACAAGTGCCAGAAATTTAATCTACACAAACCAGAATGCACAAAGACCATATTATTCACTGGATACATTCTCTACATAAATTCTTTCTTTCACAACTTTTGCAGAAACATCATTTTGTATTGACCCTTTTGCCATGGAAAAAATCACAACTAAGCCAGTAAATTGGAACCTGTGACTCATGAAATGTGTGCCTACATGTAATAAACCAGTATGCAGTGAATGGAAGATTTAAAGTCAAGAGATAAGACTGGATCTCATACTCATTCATAACTATTGATTTATTTAAACGCAAACTTCTCAACAAGTCTGAAAAACAAACAAACATCATGCCTACCTTCTTCCCTTCAATGGTTTCAGGAACATCTCCACTGGCAATACGCTGCGCAAGTCCTTCAGCAATAGCTGTCTTACCAACACCAGGTTCTCCAATAAGACAAGGGTTGTTCTTGGTTCTCCTGCCAAGAATTTGTACCACACGTTCTATCTGTGGCTGCCTTCCAACAACTGGGTCCAATTTACCCTAAGGTCAAAAGAAAAGATTATGATTAAGTCTCAATTCATCTTACCTCTTCAAGGAAATCTCATATGGTCAGGTCAACAAATAACTACCTCCTCAGCCAGTTTCGTCAAGTTTGTCCCGTACTCTTCAAGAGTTGGCATCTTATTGCTGCTGCTTCCTCCACCAACATTAGCAGTTACCTCATTGTTCTCACCCACCATGCGTATCACCTAGCCATCCAATACAAATAAGTTATACTTTATAATATCAATTTCACAACAATATATCAAGAAAACTGAAAAAATCAGTTTACCACATAAGACGACTACTTTACCTGAGTGCGAATATTACTAGGATCTGCACCTAAATTTTCCAGGACACGAGCTGCAACACCTTCACCTTCACGTAGCAATCCAAGAAGAAGGTGCTCGGATCCAATGTAATTGTGACCTGATGATATTCACACAAGTAATTAACACAAAGAATTAGACACAATCAACACAGTGGATAATACACTTCACAATAAATCAATATAGAGATTGCAGATACAGAGGCAAAAAAGATGAAAGCAAAAGACTTGCTACAGAGAAGGGATTTACCAAGTTGGCGAGCTTCTTCCAGTGAGAGTTCAAGAACACGCTTGGCACGAGGAGTGAATGGGATCTCAACAGCAACAAAGCCACTGCCCCTTCCAATAATCTTCTCCACCTCCACACGTGCATCTTTAAGGTTAATCCCCATGGATTTCAAAACTTTAGCAGCAATTCCAGTACCCTCACCAATGAGACCTAGAAGAATTTGTTCGGTTCCCACAAAATTGTGGCCTAGTCTTCTAGCTTCCTCCTGGGCAAGCATAATAACTTTGATAGCTTTTTCAGTAAATCTTTCAAACATTGCTTTCACCGTAAACCGGCTGGCCTTCCCCTTGGGCACATTCATTGCCTGCCGCACCTTCGAATGGAAATCTTGACGGCTTTTCCCTAGAGTGTCTAAGGCATTATTCCCACGTAATCCCATAAATCCTTGCATTCTTAAGCCAGAAACTTGTAACTGACTACACATCATTTTCACCGATCTTCTCGATCTTCCAGATCCACGAGAGGGAACATTCCTCTGGTAACAAGCCAAAGATGGTGGAGTAGATTGAGCCAGCACCCTTGTGGCCATAGCCATGACTTCCTACAATTGGAACAAGGAGTTAGTAAACATATCCCATCACTCTACCTTAAGAAACAGTTATACACATAAAAACATTAATCAAATGACGATAAGATAAGCTTGGATTCGATTTACAAAAGCTGATAAATACTGAGAAAAATACTGTGGAAAAGTGAAGTCACAAACAAAAGTTAGCTCAGAAAGTTGAATTCCACTAAGCTCAGATCAATAGAAGCTACAAAATCAGCTACTAATGAAGATGAGAGAAATCGAACCAAAGGTCCAAAACAGTAAACAGAAATGAGCAAATGGAATTGACTTTTTACAAAAACTAAAGAGAATCTCCATCTCCATCAAAATTCACGATCTGAAGCATCATAAATCGCACAAATTCGAACTAAACAACACAAACAAGTAAACATAAAACCCTAGCTTTGAACAGAGAACGAAGCCATAAGCTTCAAGAACAAACATCAGAAACCAACCAAGAATCCGAATACAGAAAGTAAGTGAAGAAACCCTCACCGAGTTCGATTGAAGCGTAACAGAGGATCAAATGAAGAAAAAACGAATCGAAGAAGAAGAAGAGAGAGAGAAATGAAAAGAAAAAAAAAACAGATGGATATGGTGTGTGCTTATTTTTTTTTCACCCTCCCTTATCTCTCTCGGGTCTGATTCTTTAGTTTTTTTCTTTATACGGTGCGGGTCTATTACACTTGTTCGGTGCACCATCGTGCACGCTAGCAATACTTCCAAACTCTCTAAGAAAATATCACGTGGTAAACCGACCTACTTACCAACTCAATTTTACGTAATTTACCGTCCGGTTTAGAGTAACCGACCCACTAACGAATAGTTCAATTCAGTAGTTGGTCAAATTTTTCATCAAATTTACGCATTTGGTTGTTATGTATAGAGGATAAAATACAATATGTTACTACTATTCAAATCATTTTAAATTTAATAGATGGTTTCATTATCGGTTTACAGAACTACGGTAAGAACTTAACCAATTTGGTATAGTAGCCAAATGAACTACGGTAAGGAACTTGACAACCTCACCACCGTCCGTTATAGAGAGTTTAAGATCGTGACACGTGACATTTCATGATTGGTTAGATATGGAATGACCATTCTACCCTGCGGATATTGGTCTCTCGCTATGTATCTGGACAGAGGACTCAATGGGTAATTTGTGTTTGGTGTTAGAGGTTCCGTGTACGAGACCAATTTCTCGATTTTTTTTTTTTTTCGGTTACTACTTTTACTTCTCGCGGACGAATCTTTCTAGACGTTGCCACTTATGTTTACTTCGACCTCTTATTTTTTCTCGTCGACGAGAGCGTGACATGGTTTGTGCTCAACCTCTTATTATATGGGAAATATCTTCTCTTTAGGCGTTATAAAATTAATCCACGCCAAAGACACCAAGTTTATAAACGAAAACAAAGTTGGTTCATTGTGAATCCTTTCGTGGCTCTTTCTTTTTTCTTTGAGATTGAGCTTGGGTAAAAAAAAAAAGCCACATTAATCAGGCGGAGCATAAAGGTATGATGAAATTGTCGACGAACCTACAAATAAGTAGTCCAAGATTAACTTTTTTTATCATGGCTTATAAACAAGATATTTTAGATTAATGATGGTTATTGGAGCAGAATAAAGCATTAGAAAGACTTTTAGTTTTCCCTAAACACCTCTTCGAGAGTTTGAAAGCATATAACCAAAAGCTTGTACTGTTATAGATGACGGATAAGGAACATATTTAATCAAGAATCAACACGACTTCTGACTTCCATGTTGATAAGAACTTCATAAACATGAACCTTTCTTGAGCTAAACGAAACACTCAAATATTTAAACTGGTAGGCGCGTAACAGAGAGTCCTAGATTTTCTTAAATGAAAGGTATAACTATGCATTTAGCTTTATTTTATGCATCAGCCTCGTCTCTCTCAAACATAGCTAGAATCTTGAAAAGTTTTGATAAGGATCTTGTCATCGACTTTGTGAACCCAATAATATCATCAGCAAAACATACATGTTGGTTATGCACTTATGGTAATCGATAAAGGTAAAGCCACGGAATAAATATTTACTTTAGTTCTGTAACTTAGCAAAATGCTAATAGAGTACCATTCTCCATATAACGCTGCGTTTTGGAGTTGGAGGGGATACTTAAAACGCTGCGTTTTATATTATTTTTTTCCCGCGTATATTTCTCCCTTTATTATCGGATAGCCCAACAAATACACAGGCGAAGAAAACCTAGCTCTTGCTTCGCCATGGACGTCGGAGGAGAAGACATAAGCGATCTCCAGGTAGATCAAATCGTTGAAGAAGATTCCATGGATGATCTCATTAGAGACCGATTCAGACTCTCCGCGATCTCTATCGCCGAAGCCGAGGGTTAGACTCTCTCCCTCCCTCTCCTCCCATTTCATTCGATTTCTCAAAATTTCCAGCGATTCAACGGTTTTTTATGAATCCATACGGTGAATATTCGTCTGGATTTCGATTTGATTTTGAAATTTGTGTTGATTTGATTGAGAATATTAATTCAATTTTCATTTCCACTAATTCCTTCGTCCGAGAATCTATTTGGCTTCCGATTAGTTTCTTCTGGTGGACGACGAACATAGCTTAAATGTTTTCATTGCCATTCTTTGTTTTCGAATTAGATTTGGCGATTTTCAATTTCTAGAATTGGTGAATCAACATAGTAACGAAGCTGCTTGAATTTAATTCTACATAGTTGAAATTTAGATTCTTCCTGAAGAAGAGTTGAATTTGATTGATTTTGAGTTTTGGTTTGAGCAGCGAAGAAAAATGGAATGGAAATAGGAGGACCTGTTGTGGCATGTGTGGCGGATTTAGCCTTCAAATATGCAGGTGAGACCAGTTTTCTATGCACTGGAACAATAATTCTGCAACTCTTTTTTCTTATGGTTTGAAGAACCCTATGGTAGTTAAAACTTGTCATTGCTATTTACTTGGAAACTTAATCTAGCTTCATGGGAATATAGATTGGTCAATATGCTTTGGAAGTAATCTTTTGGTTAGAGGAATCCTGGTCTAGTTATACATTAATGAAATGTGAAATGTTAGTTTTATAAGTTCTAATCATTTCTTTTAAACTTTATATGGCTTACTATTCACCTGGAATCGTTATTTAGCTTCAGGGGAATATAGATGGGTCAATATGTTTTGTAAGTAATCTTTTTGTTAGAGGAATTCTGGTCTTGTTAGTTTTACATTAATGAAATGTGCAATGTTAGTTTTCTAAGTTCTAATCATTTCATTAAAACTTTTCATTGCTTACTACTATTCACTTTGAATCTTTATCTAGCTTCAGGGTAATACAGATTGGTCAATGCTTTGGAAGTAATCTTTTGGTTTATGTTAGGATTTTTATCAGTGGTGAAGAAGAGTATCTGTTCTTAGGCCTTTATGTGGTAGTTAGCCTAAAAAAGCACAGAAATGGCAACCTAAAGCATGGTGTGTGCTTATGTTGAGTAGGATTATTTTGGTTGCTGTTTGTATGGTAAACTGTTTGCAGAAGCTTCAATTCATAGTAGAGTTGACTAAATCAAAATTTAGTGTTTTAGTTTCCAGAGTAGCTTTGTCTGAAATTTTGCTTATTTGTTATGAGTAACAGAAAATGTTGCAAAGGACCTTGAACTATTTGCTCATCATGCTGGACGCAAAGTTGTGAACATGGACGATGTTGTTCTCTCCGGTATAAACTGTTTCAACTCTCACACGTTCATGTTAATGGTTTCTTAGTTCTGAATTTCATATCTGTTTCTGAAATTTGCAGCGCATAGAAACGATAACTTAGCTGCGTCTTTGAGGTCATTGTGCAATGAGTTAAAGGCAAAAGAGCCACAATCGGATAGGAAACGCAAGAAAGGATCAGCCAAGAAAGAAGACAAAGCCAGTAGTAGCAATGCCGTTCGCATCACGACCGATCTGTAACTCTTCAAGCAGAGTGTAAATACACACCCATGGAGAAGCTGTTATTAAAAGCCCTGGAGTTTTTTTGGAAATTTATATAGAAGACTTTTGCATTAACCTTTTGTACTTTTAAATGATTAATATATCCAATCAGAAAATTAAAAAATATTCATCTATTTCTATATTCTCTTTAGATTTGCTTTTATATATTACGTATAAGCCAAAATATTGTAAGCTAGGTCTGATAATTCCCCTACCCGCGCTAGATAACAATGTCACAATCTGGCTCTTCTCCGACGAAGCTGGATGATGGTTTAGGTATATTTTTCTGATCCTTTTGGTTATTACACATTGAAGATTATGTATGAGGGATCTCGATTTGGTCTAGGGTTAATGTAGCAAAGAAATTCAGAGTGATTTATGTTGTAGGTAAAGGAAAATCTCAGAACGAGATTGGTGCTGTAGAGATTCGAGAAGAGAAAGATAATGAAGTTGAGAATGCGAAGGTATATCTGTTTTATCGAAGATCAAAAACGTTGATCCTTTACAAGGACACAGAGATGTGATTGCATTGAAAGTCTTGTCTTGTTTTTGGTTGGTGTATTTCTATGTCCTTTGTGTGTGAATTGTCTGAATTTTCATTTTTGTAGCATGCACATTACGACCCTTATGGTTATGGTGGTTCTCCTTTTGGAACTGGATCCGTTCTCCTAGATTACCCCACCTCTCCTAGTTACAGCCCTACCTCTCCTAGTTATCGCCCTAACTCTCCTAGTTGTAACTTTTCTAGTCACTGCCCTGACTCTATTATTTACAGGCCTAACTCTCCTAGTCACAACCCTGACTCTACTATTTACAGACCTAACTCTCCTAGTCACATCCCTGACTTTACTAGTTACAGGCCTAACTCTCCTCGTCACATCCCTGACTTTTCTAGTTACTGGTCTGACTCTCCTAGTCAAAGCCCTGACTTTCATAGTTACAGCCCTAACTCTCCTCGTCACATCCCTACCTCTCCTAGTTACAGCCCTACTTCTCCTAGTTACAGCCCTGTCTCTCCTGATCACAGCCCTACCTCTCCTCAATGCTGCCCTACCTCTACTCAGCTCAGCCCTATCTTGAGCTCTCCTCCTGAAGATGATGGTTATGGTCCTGAGCACATGGAAGCTGAAAACAAGACCAATGATCCAATCAAGGAGATTGGGGATGGAAGTAGCCATGTGGATGGTAAAAATTACCAGGAAGCTGAGGCCACTCGCACAATTCATGTCTCATTTTCAAAGGTTTGGTTTTACATTCTTGACTCTTGTTTCAGTATCACCTACTGAAATTTACTATGCAGGTAGCTCTACTTGTTGGTGCTGCGGCGACTTTACGGTTTCTTCAGCACAATCTTTGTGCTCAAATCCGTATTTTGAAGGATTCAGAAGTTGATTTGAAGTCTTCACAAAGACCGGTAGAATTAACTGGAACTGTTTTACAGATCGAGTTTACGCAGCAGCTTATCGACTCTGTTCTAGCAGAGGTTGGTCATAATTAGCTCAATTTCTTCTTGTTTACTACTCTCAACTATTCTTTTCTTTTTTGGGTCTGAAAGAAATTTGGCTACAATAATTTCAGGAGAATCATGATTAACCAATGGAAGAGGAAACTAAGAAACCATCTTCTCAGAAAGATTGTGAAGCTCTTATTAAGCAAGTCCATGCCGAGTATGAATATCCCACGTGTGATGCAGCAACCTCTCCAAGGATATGAAGTTGTTCAAGTTTGATCAAATTTATATTAAACCTCTCAAACATTTTATAAGCATTCGGGAGATTATTTTCGGTAATTAAACAAGCCATATATAGGATTTTATCAATGTTAAAATCTTATTTAAAAGTCATCGAGAATTTTGTTGGGACTGATTGGTAACATTTTAACGCTTGGTAAAGGGTTTACCGTTTTAATAGTTTATGACCTTTATCATTCTGGGGCATAGCATAAGATATCATTAGTATTTGTAATAAACACTTTCCGATTCTCTTAATTAATGCTTGATATGTTTTGACCAGATGTAATTTTTTTTTTGGGTCCAAACCAGATATAATTTAAGAATTGTTCTTGTGGCAACAAATTTATGCAAAATGCATTATAATGACTCTTTGACCCAAAAAAAAAAACACAGAATTAAAATACTAACTATCTTTCCCCATTTGTCATGTCTAGACAACACCAATATATTTAAAAGCTCTGGTCTAAATTGGTTCCATATAAAAAATGAGATTGTCAAATTAGCAAACTTCCCTCCGCAACAATCTTTAGACTCTAGAGCAATGATTCTTCACCCATCTCTAAAACCCATGTTGTCTTTGTGGTAATTATTCTTCCTCGTGGTAATGATATTATACTATAATCTCTCTTTTCTTTTAATCTGTTCAATGATATGGGTTTGGATCTTGTTGATTACTGTTGCTTATGCTTTTTTCTTTCTCCGGAATTCAAAATTCAAGGTTGATTTTTGTCATTTTTTGAATTATTTTGTCGGATCTCATAGAAGGATAAAGATTCCAAAGAAATGTCTATTATAGATAATTAGAGCAAGGAAAATGAAAATATATATCATAACATGGCTGATGACTCTATAGTACGTACTTTAGTTGAAACATATATGCATGTCATGGATATATGTTTCTCTATTTGAATTATTGTGATTTGGAATCTTTAACGATAATCACGGATCTTTGTTTTCACTACGCATGTGGTAGTGTAGTACCTATGGTTTTGCTAATTATGGTCCACTTTTGTTATGGTCGAGAGTATTCGTGTTTCTCATTAAGCCTTTTACATGTATTCTTCATCCTAGCCTCTTACGATGAAGCTTATGCTTTATATATTAGTAGATCAGAAAAAATAGTGAAAGATTTTGTTTTCCGGCGATTGTATCGGCTGTTTAGTTAGTGTAGATTACTTTGGCCTTCTAATGGTTCATGAATTGTTAAGCATATAATTTGACTTTTTGAATTGCTTTCAAAAGTAAAATAAAATAAAAAAGACTTGACCAAGCATGCTTTAACGCTATAATAATTGAGGTCCCGATAGTCATGTCACATGTGTCTATCGCAGGTAATAATAATACCGTGAGTAGAAAGAGCCTTTTTCAAAAGATTTTCAAAAAAAATTACAATCTGATTAGGGCAAAAAAATTCAAAATATTTTATCATTTTAAATTTTTAATACTAATCATGAAAAAATTACAACACATTTTCATTCTTTAGTTTAGTTTACAGTCTAGGATTGGTTGTTTTTATTTTGTTTTATAAAGGTCTAGGATTGGTTGTTAGAAAGAAACAACTGAGAGAAGAAGTCACCACCGGTGGTTTTGGTTAGTGTTAAACAGTGGTTTATCATGTTGTGCTCAACCTTGGTGAGAGGGATGCACATCACGTCATATCATAAAGTATTAGCAGAGGCTAGTCTCGAGCAGTGGGAGAATAACGGTTTTGGCCTGAACCTCCTAGTTAACAAGGACAACAAAAAACAATTTAGGGAAGTTTGAGTTTGGTCTAAATTTTCTAGATTGTTTATTTTTGCTAAGAATGTAAAGATTTCTTTATAAATGAAAACGGTTTAAGTTTACAGTAAGAAGATTATAGACTTATACAAATGGTCTCACGACAAAAAAGATAAAAACATGAAAGCATAATTCATAAAAACATTTTCAGTCTATCCACTCAACATAAACATAGCTAATAGAGTCAGACGAAGTGATGACGATATTGCTGTTCTTCCCATAATATTGCTCGAGACAAAGGGCAAAGGTAATAAATTTCCTAGGTTGTCAAGTATAATCTGATAAATTTACAAAACGGATGTTACGTGATCATTTATGATAAGGAAAGACAAAGTAAATGGATTGAATACACCTGAAAATGTTAAACAAATTAAATGGATTAAATAGACTTGAAAATTACAAGCCGATACAAAGGCTTCACAAATTGCGATGTAAGATCTTTTTTTTTTTTGTGACAATTGGAATAAAGGAAAAGGATTGAATGGAAGATATAATTTAAACACCTGTATATGATTATTATGGCAGGACATGGAAGGCAAATTAAGAGATTATATTTCAATCAATTTCACAACAATAAATCACGTGTAAATAAAATTTTATAGATTTTGAAAGGATTACACGTGACGACCACCTTCTCTTTAGGTGGCAAGTGGCATCAAATTCATTGGTTCTCAAGCTCTTTGGTTCATGCACGTGTGGATAAGGGTTTAATTGATAAAATTGACGTGCGTGGCCTATAATGGTTGGTTGATATCTAATGTTATGTGGATGAAGAATTTACTCAAAAAATGAAACTTGTCCTAGTTATTGCAGAGGTTTAAATGATAAGAGACAACTATATATCGAATGTGTTTAATGATGATCTCCTGACTCCAGGTAGTGAATCTTTCGCCTTAGAACGATTCTTGTCAATAAGAATTTCGAAATGACTTAAAGTCTACGAATCTTTGGAGCAGTTGCAATAGCATGACAGAGACATTGAGCTTGGATATTACCAAAGTTAATTAGCTGGACACGGAAACTTTTCTAAATTTTAAAGAAACTGATGAGTATATATATCAACTGTAACAATTCACCTTAGGGAAAGAGATTAGTGTAAGAAGATTTAAGTAGAGATTTACTTGGTGGCAATATATATACATTAAGTTAAGGTGATGAAATCACGTTTATTTAAAAAATAAAAAAAAAAAAAAACTTACACCACTTATTGGGATATTGAGGGCATATATTTATGTTTCATAAGAAAATTAAAGACACATTTGAATTTTTTTTTAAAGAAACATCATTAGAAAATTAAGGAAACAAGTGGAAATGACTTGTGAATTTCAGTTGAGAGACCCAGTATACTTTAGAACTGTAGTTGTAACAAAGTTGTTTCCAACAACCAAAGGTCTTTTTGGGTTTGTGTAGACATGTGATAAAGTTTCTTTTTCTTTTTGATAAAAGACTTGTGTTAGGTTTTTTCTTTTTTTTGATAAGTTCAACGTTGTAATGTTTGCTTAAAAAATTCCAGTAAACTTTGGAATTTGGAGTGCACTAATAATTATATTGTAAGGGGAATTGCCATGATTGTAATTTATTCAAGTTCTGTTGTAGCTCAAAGTATCTCTGCATGGTTTTTACATTAGCTAGGTCGATATTTTCTTTCGTGTTCCAAGTTGCAATACGTAAATATTATATAATTTTTTTTAGAACAAGTAGTAAGACATTTTCAATCAGTTTACACAAAATGATTGAATGAAAAAATAATTATAATATTATATATATACAGCCAATATGATTGTGATTGCAAAACATTGGGGGCACAAAATTAAGAGATTACAATCAGTTCCACAACAATAAATCACATGCAAACAAGCTTTATAGATTTAATAGACCCACACTTCTCCTCAGGTGGCTCTACAAATTCATACGTGTAGATAAGAGTTTGAATAATAAGTTGATGTGGCTTATTCTGGTTGGTTGATATTTAAATCTAGAAGAATAATTTACCTAAAAATAACAAAATAAAACTTGTCTCTTCAGTTTTATCACTAGCCTAGTGCTCCACCATTAGACAAAGACATTATAGATCTATAAAAATGTCAATAAAATGGATGATGATTATGAGAAAAACTTACACGTTAAAGAGGTCCGAAGTTGCTATCTAACAGTTGTAGCCATGGCCGCTTTGATAATGCAGTTTGAAGGAGAGAAGAAAAACTTATCCGAAGTTGCAGACGTAACCCTCAAGCAAGGTCAAGATGAACAACAACGTCGATCTTATTCGACGATGTTTAGGGAAGAGAGGGACACTTTCGGGCCGATCCAAGTTCCTTCCGATAAGTTCGGGATCTGAACTTTACTATATATATCGTTCTGATCTCGAGGGAAAACGTTTTCACATTCTTTTTGTTGTTCTTTGTCAGATTATGGGGAGCACAGACGCAGAGATCGCTTCAGAACTTCGAGATTGGTGGTGACCGCGAGCGAATGCCCGAACCAATCGTCCGAGCTTTTGGTGTCTTGAAGAAATGTGCTGCCAAGGTTTTTGCACCAAAGTCTCTATGTAAATTTATCTTCTTTTTTTTTTTTTTTTGGGTTCGTGAGTTCACGATGATGTTTTAGGTTAACATGGAGTATGGTCTTGATCCAATGATTGGGGAAGCTATAATGGAAGCTGCACAAGAAGTAGCAGAAGGAAAGCTCAATGATCATTTTCCTCTTGTTGTATGGCAAACTGGTAGTGGCACTCAGAGTAATATGAATGCTAATGAGGTAATTTCTCGCAGTGTTTTTTTTTTTTGTTAAATAATTTCTGGCAGTGTTTTTTTTTTTTGTTAAATAATTTCTGTCAGTGTTTTTTTTTTTTGTTAAATAATTTCTGTCAGTGTTTTTTTTTTTTGAACACAATTCTGTCAGTGTTGAAGATATGTTTTGTAGGATCTCATACAAGTGCTACCAGTAGCGGATCCAAGAAAAAGAAAAAAAAGAAACTAACAAAGACAAAATGTTTTGTATCTTCGTAAATTCCTAATATATACTTTTATCTAAAAAAACCGATGTATATTTCACGGCTTCAGTTTTTTTTTAACAATAATATTGACGGCTTCGGTTTTTTACCGCAGTAGATTTACCCTTTTGTGAAAAATAATTCAAATTATTTTCAAAGAATGATCGAATATACACAAAAGAGATTGACTTTAAGAAAGGGATTAAGAAATACTCCCTCTGGTTTATATTATATGATGTTTTAGCCAATTTATTTTGTTTCACAATATAAGATGTTTTGAACAAAAAAAATTTAAGTTTCTATATAAATATTAAATTTATACAATTTTGTGACTATTTATATTATGCAATAAATTTTTTCATTGGCCAAACTCTTTTTAAGTAATTATTAAATTATGATTTTAATGTAGAAATATAGAAACGAAAAAGATTAATTAATTAGTTTCTTAAACTTTGTTTTTAGCCAAAGCATCCTATATTTTGAAACAGTGGGAGTACCATTTTTGGGACCTCTTTTTTTCAAAAAAACTACTAAAAATAATTTCTCTTATAACATTTTATAAAGGTTTATAATATCTTGTAAGTCCTAATTATAAAACCTAATAAAATCTTATAATTTTTTTTATTTTACTTATTTAATCCAAATGAAGTTGATAAAATGATAGCAAAGATGATAAATAGTTAAATAAAAAGAAAAAATTAATCATATATGTATAATACTTTCTCTGTTTCAAAATATATGTTTTAGTTAAAAGCATGCAGATTTAAAAATATCTACTTTTAAATAATTATATAATATGAATTTTATAATATAAATTATCATAAAATATGAAATTAATCTATAATTTGCATGGAAACTTGAAAATATTTTATATTATGAAACAAAAAATTTATCCAAAACATCTTATATTATGAAAAGGAGAAAGTGCCAAAATAAGTGCGTGCTACTCACCAACTAGAGTGTCTCCTCATCAAAGTTCTCTTTTATTGCCATAAATTTGTAATTAATATGAAAATTAGAGATATACTATCGACTTTTTTCAGGTTATTGCTAATAGAGCAGCTGAGATTCTTGGTCACAAACGTGGGGAAAAAATTGTGCACCCAAATGACCATGTGAACAGATCACAATCTTCTAATGACACTTTTCCGACTGTAAGCTTTAGTTTGCATTCTCATTACCATAATTTTGCATGCTTAACGTTCATTTAATTGCTTAGTACTAATTGATGGTCCCATTATTTTGGTTTTGTCTAGGTCATGCACATTGCAGTTGCAACCGAGATTACTTCAAGGCTGATCCCTAGTTTGAAAAATTTGCATAGCTCTTTGGAGTCTAAGGTGACTCATTTGATATAGTCGCTAAATTGCAACACACTACTATTTCAACATGAAACTTGCTTTGACCTAAATGGTGACAGGGAACACTTGTGACCTTAGTTCAATGTGTTACTATTTGAGAGTTGCTTTGTATATGTTGGAATTTTACATTTAAGAAACATCTTCTGACCTTTGACATTTTGTTATTTTATCCAACTTTTCTTAGAACTATATAGTCATTGTCATATTTATGTTGCATAAGCACTCAAAATCCATAGTCTATTTGCTCTGCGTTCTAACATTCTAAGACTTATCTCATCTTATTCGGTTTTCGGCAGTCCTTCGATTTCAAAGACATTGTGAAAATTGGAAGAACTCACACTCAAGATGCTACACCTTTGACGCTAGGACAAGAGTTTGGCGGCTATGCTACTCAAGTAAATTATTTGTTCTGTTTCTCTGCTTTTCCAACAAAATTGTAAATCACAGGCCATGTAGAAATAATTTTTGATTTTTTGAAATCATCATTGTAGGTTAAGTATGGACTTAATAGAGTCGCATGTACTCTACCTCGCATCTATCAGGTTTGAAAATGATATCTTTAGAGGATCTGATTTCATATACTTCTCCAAGTTTCATTGAGCTCTAACTAGTTAGAAATGTTTTGCCAGCTTGCACAAGGTGGAACCGCTGTTGGGACCGGATTAAACACTAAGAAAGGGTATGGTCTCATTTCTAATTTTATTTCCATTACAAGTTCATATCATTATAGTTCACTGTTAGTAACACTATTACTTTATTTACAGGTTTGATGTAAAGATAGCTGCTGCAATAGCTGAAGAAACAAACTTGCCTTTCGTCACCGCAGAAAACAAGTTTGAAGCTTTGGTTAGCCTCTAAACTACTTCCATCATCATCAATGTCCAAATTCATTCCAAGCGTCTTGCTATGGGTGCTAAATTATACAAGATACTTCTGAATGGTTGATATATATGAAATCAGTTGTTGAGTTATTCTTTCTTTTTACAGGCTGCACATGATGCTTGTGTTGAAACAAGTGGATCTCTTAATACAATCGCCACATCGTTGATGAAGATCGCCAATGATATACGTTTTCTTGGAAGGTACGTATCTAATCTTTTTGTTTCCTTTCTTTCTTCAAGATGTACAATGTTCTTATGATGTTTTAACATGTCTTTATATAGTGGTCCAAGATGTGGTCTTGGTGAACTTTCTCTGCCTGAAAATGAACCAGGAAGCAGTATCATGCCTGTAATGAATGCAACTTTCCTTTGTTATTCTGTTTTTTTTTTTTTTTTTTTTTCTGTCTTTTTCCTTTTCCGTTTCGTTAATTTTGATTCTCAAGAATTATAATCTCTCTCTCTCTCAGGGAAAGGTAAATCCTACACAGTGTGAGGCCTTGACTATGGTTTGTGCTCAAGTAAGTTCCATGGATCAATACATTTTTACTAACATATGAATTTAAATTGCTAAGGTTGTCTTGTTCATGACTCTTTTGGTTGCATCAAACAATATTGAAGGTTATGGGAAACCATGTAGCTGTGACAATTGGTGGGTCAAATGGTCATTTTGAATTGAATGTATTCAAGCCGGTTATTGCAAGCGCTCTCTTACATGTACATTAATCTTCTTTCATTGGGCATCTTTTTCTTTTATACTATTTTTAAAAAATGTCAATCTTAACAAAACGATTTCGTGTCCTTTACCAGTCCATTAGATTGATAGCAGATGCTTCAGCTTCATTTGACAAAAACTGTGTGAGAGGCATTGAGGCCAACAGAGAAAGGATCTCAAAGCTATTGCATGAGGTAGGCTTCTTCTCGTTGATTGCCCTTAAATTAATTATTCATGTGTGGAAATGATTTATACATAGGAACTAATTCTTTGTTTTATGTATATCTCTCTATAGTCTCTTATGCTTGTGACATCATTGAGTCCTGTAAGTCTCCAAATACTTAACTTCTTTGTCAAGTCATCCATTTTCTCATTATGATTACAAATAAATATGCCTCAATGCTAATTTTTCGAGTCCTTGTTTCCTTTACCAGAAAATCGGCTATGACAATGCTGCAGCAGTTGCCAAGAAAGCTCACAAAGAAGGATGCACATTAAAGGTAAGCAATAAACTATTATAAACACTTCTCATAAAGTAAATCGGAATCTAAACAGAGTTGAAATTGATTTGAAGCAAGACAAAGCATGTTCTTGTTTGTATAAATTTGTTGGTCTATTTTGGATTTAAACCTTCTTCAATGGAGATCATAAATATATATAATACAATATCTTTAAGATCCCTAAATCTTTGCTTTGATTTATTCTATAGCACGCAGCAATGAAGTTAGGTGTTCTTACTTCGGAAGAGTTTGATACTCTTGTTGTTCCTGAGAAGATGATTGGTCCCTCTGATTAAATTATAATGGAGCCAAAAGCTTCAAATACAAAGTGGATGTGTGAAAAAAAAAAAGTGGATGTGTGGTTTTTTTTTTTGGATCAAGTGGTGTTTATTCTTTTGTAATAAAATGCTGCATATGTATGCTTGTGTGCTTGTGTTCAAATTTTTGGATATGTTTTAGAGTCATGTGGTTATAGTATTCTAAGTAATTTATCATAAAGTTTGTAATATATACTTAAGTTCAATGAAATAAATGTGTATGAAAATGTTTAATATTGTTGTTGTGTTACAAAAGTCATAAAAGGGAGGAGATCACAAAGTCGCAAAAAGATGCATACATGTGATAAATGTTACATAATTTATGTGGAGCCTACTGTTACTATACGAACACAATAACTTATCTTTTTATCTATATAAATAGAACGATGCGAGCATACAATAACTTATTTTTTTACCTCTATAAATAGAACGATGATGCGTTCATTATAAACACACAACTTCGCAACTTCTATAATAACAAAATCTCTTTCGTCTCTTTTTATTACTCTTTAGTAGCCCGATCTTTTTGCAAGTATAAAATTTTCTCTATTATTTATATTCTCTACTATTAAATAAAACACTTATTTATAACAACATGGATTAAATGTTAGACTTTGATTTATATGTGAGTTTTGCGACATTTTATCAAAATATGAGGGAAAAAAAACAATATCATCAAAATATGAATTGGTCGATAAGGCCCATGAAGGTCCAAGTTAGTTAATGGGCTTTGTATAGATAAATTTTACCGACTTTGAATCGATTATATACGCGTCGTCGTCGTCGTCCGTCTTCAACTTCTCAACCATCGCCGCCATAAGCAGAGTTTCACATATAAACGAAAAAACCCCTTCGAGGAACCAATCAGAAATCACAAGTCGACGATATGGAGAACGGAGATATTCCAGAGAACGCCAACGAGGGTAAGCAAAATCAATCCATTTTTTTCAATTTTATTGTACCTTCAATCTTCTTTCTGGGTTTAACCTAATTGGGTTTTGTTTGTTGGTTGCTTGTGAATAGATTGCCCAGGTCCTCAATCAGAAACTGCTGGAAAGTCAGATTCTTGTGCAGGTTGCCCTAATCAGGAAGCTTGTGCCACTGCTCCTAAAGGACCTGACCCAGGTTCGATTTCACTTGAATGACTTGTGCCTACGTTTTTGAACGTCTCTGCTTTCGATTCATACTTGGAATTACGTTTCTCAAGTTGGTTTCGTTGTTGTTGTTACAATTTCTAGTTCTGAAGATGGGTTTTGTATCAATGTGTTTATATGAGCTTTGTATCTCCTATTTACATTACACATGTTCGATTGCTTCTGAAACTGTTTGTTATTTGGAGCTTTATAATAGATTTTTATATAGGATTTGGAACTCTAGAATAGCTCTATTTGGTGTGGCTCCATATGATGATTAAAAGATTGATTTTTTTGATGCTAATGTCTAAGCTCCATATGTGTTTGAGTTGCAGACTCACTTGGTTACTAGTTGAAGTTATGCAGGGATATTTGGGCTGACGTTTTCTGTTTTCTGTAGATTTGGTTGCCATTGCGGAGAGAATGAGCACTGTTAAGCACAAGATTCTGGTTTTGTCTGGCAAAGGTGGAGTTGGTAAGAGTACTTTCTCAGCTCAGCTTTCGTTTGCTCTGGCGGGCATGGATCATCAAGTAGGTTTGATGGACATTGATATATGCGGTCCAAGCATCCCAAAAATGTTAGGTCTTGAAGGGCAAGAGATTCACCAGAGTAACCTTGGATGGTCTCCGGTTTATGTGGAAGATAACCTTGGTGTCATGTCCATAGGTTTCATGCTCCCTAACTCTGATGACGCGGTGATCTGGAGAGGTCCACGCAAGAATGGTCTCATCAAACAGTTCTTGAAAGACGTCTACTGGGGAGAGATTGATTACCTTGTGGTTGATGCCCCACCAGGAACCTCAGATGAACACATCTCGATCGTCCAGTACCTTCTACCCACGGGGATCGATGGTGCCATCATTGTCACGACACCGCAGGAAGTCTCCTTGATTGATGTGAGAAAAGAAGTGAGCTTTTGCAAGAAAGTTGGAGTCCCCGTGCTAGGAGTAGTAGAGAACATGAGTGGGTTATCTCAACCGTTGAAGGATGTCAAGTTCATGAAGCTGGCGACAGAGACTGGCTCCTCCATTAACGTGACCGAAGACGTAATCTCTTGCTTAAGAGAAAACGCACCAGAGCTTCTTGACATCGTGGCTTGCAGCGAAGTGTTTGACAGCAGTGGAGGCGGTGCAGAGAGAATGTGTCGGGAAATGGGAGTACCGTTTCTTGGGAAAGTTCCTTTGGATCCACAGCTTTGCAAAGCAGCTGAACAAGGTAAGTCATGCTTTGAGGATAACAAGTGTTTAATCAGCGCACCTGCGCTTAAAAGCATCATACAGAAAGTCGTTCCTTCAACAGTGATGACCGAGTGAAGAAGAAGAAGAAGAAACTTATGTAACACTTTGGTCAGATATGTGAACAGACGATGAATTTTCACATAAAGGAGAGCTTTATCTTTCGTTTCTCGGGGGTGTGGTTAAGTTATAGGCTGTTTGTGTAAGTTATAGGCAATGTTTCACATGTCGAATAAGATTTTTATAATGAGATTGAACCATAAAGTCTTTTCAATTTAGATGAATCAAACCAATCCAAAACCGGAATAACTGATCCAAAATTAAACCGGGTTATAAACCTTTTGGCGAAAGTGCTTAAGTTATAAAACTCTTCTGGCCAAAATATCACGAGGGAAGCTGGTACCTTACCGGTATTAGCCACGAAGATCACTGCATGTCTGGATCCTAATGGATGGAAATAGGTAAGATATTGGGTGTATTGAGATATAGATTCATGTATAAATGATGGAAAGAGCTCTAAATATTGAGTTATGAGTTTGCGACTTTTGGAAAACATTTACTTTCTCAAACGACAAGAGGAGATGCATGTTGTTTTAGCACTAGACGCTAATCGGGCGGTGACCCAAGCGCCTAGCGTCTAGAACGCCTAATCGGGGTTTAGGCGATTTTAGGTGGTGTAGATGTTTACAACCTAACACTTTTAAAATATGATATTTAAGATAAAAAATCATATAAAACTATGTATTAGAAGAATAAAAATATTAAATTGTAAACAAAAATTACACGAAAACATTTATTTAATTCATATCGTACAATATATATGGAACTAAAATTTATAATTTAAATTTATGCAGTTGAAAATTGGATAAATACATTGAAACAAAACTTAGGCGGCCGAAACGGTTGTTTAAACATCACTTGAGTGTCTACCGACTCGGAGTCCTAGGCGACCGCCTAGACAACTTTTTAGAACAATGGTTTTACATCAGTTTTGGGTTTGATATAATATCCCACACAGTGCCGGCTCAGATGGGTGGGCGGGCGGTGCGACGGCCAGGGGTCCAATCCCGTGGTTCAATAATTAAGGGGCCCATTTTTAAAAATATTTTAAAAAATATTTAAAAATTAGATTATAACATAAAAATAAAATTTAGAAAGGTCTATAAAATTTTTTATTTATTGTTTTTAGTATTAGTAATTAATATTTTTAACAAAAATAGCATATAAATTTTTTTTACAGCAAAAAAACATTAAAAAAATTTTTCTAAAGATTTTTTTTTGCCCTAGGGCGCATAAAAATATTGAGCCGGCACTGATCCCATAGTGCTGAGTATTTTGTTCAAAGTGAATGATTTGTTTTTCCAGAATCTAGTATTCTAGTGTAGTTGTTTGACATGATAAACCCATGTTGCGTCTTTGTATATTAGTTCCAATTATCATTATTTGTCATTAAGACATTAAATATGATGATGAGTGAATGCTAAACAAGAAAAAATATCCGAACTTATAATATACAACGCATATTAGCTCTTCGGAGATATGTGAAACATAGGATGATAGGATGTACGCAGGGCCGGCCCAAGGCTAAAGCCCGTAAAGCATGGGCTTTAGGCATCAAATGTCTATAAAAGAATTTAGGGGCATCATTTTACTAACATTTATTGTGGTACAGTGGTTAATACCTCCACTCTCTCATCAAAGTTGCTGAGTTCGAGTCCTTTTAGTGTACTATATATATAAATTTTGTTTTAATTATGTATAAGGATGGACCAAAAATTTTTTTTGCTTTAGGCAACAATTTACCTTGGGCCGGGCCTGGATGTACGTAAAACAAATCTTGTTATAGAATTTAAATTTCAATTTCCTCCAAATATAATGCCTAGTTGAAGTTATGAGGATTTTTACACTAAAAGATAACTACTTTGAAAATCGAATCTTGACATCAATTCTAGAATTTTGTTTTTTATTCGATATTTTGGTTACAAGAGAAGCTACAAAAAATGTATGTTAAAGTTTTTTTTTTTTTTTTTTAATTGGACATCCTTTAACGAAACCAAAAGATTACCTTAGACATGGCAAAGATAGAAACATGCCAAACGACATCGTATAATATACTAAAAGATATTAGCTTTAGATAAACTTGCATACGACGTTGTATAGATATTTTTGTAAAACTACTTAATTTAGGCAACAAAAAATTAGAACATGTGAAACGACGTCGAATGGATACTAATCTATTCGACGTCGTTTGACATGATTCCATCTTTAAGTCGCCTAGGTTAATATTTTGGTTCTATAAAAGGATCCAATTCACAGATTTTTACGTGTTCATCATATCCGCCGTATTTTTCTGTTACAAACATAACAAATACATATCCTATGAAAGTTTAGAATTATTCGATCGCATCAATGAAAAAACCTCAAATCCGGTTACATTCTTTTGCAAAAGGTATGTGCTAATAAAACGTAGTTTAAGATCTTTTACATTCATTCATTTTTATTTGAATTCTTTTAAATATTTGCATAACTTTTTGGTTTTCTTATTACTAATACTCATTCATTATATTACTATTAGTTTGATTGCTTGATGGTTTTTATTTTGACTCATGAATTTTCAATGAAAAGAAAAAAGAATTCATAGTGGTACAAAATCATCTAAATTTAATATAAAGCATCTTCAACAAAATAACAAAATTTGATAAATGTACACTATATTTAGAGGTGGAAATATTATCTGAGATCTAAGCCAATCTGATCCGAAATATGATATATGAAACTTCCGGATCTGGATCCAAATATTTTAATATTGAAAAACAAGATATTTAGATCCGACATGGATCTACTTCGAAATTTAATTTTCTTATATGATAAACATAATTTATAAAAATATTTTGTGGTACCTGAAAGAAAATAAATTGTTTGGTATTTTTAAGTATAGCCCTAATAAATTTGTTATGTTTTAAAATGTTTATAATATATATATATATATATATATAATATAATTGATGAAAAGTTTGATATAATTTAATTTTAATATAATTATTCAAAAGTTCATAAAGAGAAAATATATTGAAAAGTCTCACAGATTGTATCCTTTTTGTATTTTTCAATTTTATGCTATTTCTCTTATTTGTCTACAAAATTGGGATTTTTAGAAATCAAATATTTTTTGTCCAAAAAAAAAAAGAGAGAAACAAAATATTTATTTACTTTTTTGAAAATAAATTTTCATGACAAAATAAAAATATATATATTTTGACTGAAATTTATCTAATATAATGGTAAAATGAAGAAAATTTATTAATTTTTATTTTATTTGTATAATAAGATTATAGAATATTTAATTAAGAAAGAATCTTTAGATTTGGTCAAATCATGTAACACAGTTAATGGTGATTAGATTTTTAGATTTGGTCATAATCTAAAGATTCTTTCTTAATTTATTATTCAACCATCTTATTATATATGTCAAATAAAATATTACACTTTCTTCATTTTACCATTTTATTATACTGTATAAGTTTCTAGTCAAAGTCAATTTTTTTTTTTAAAATTCATTATGCCAATTTATTTACAAAAAGGAAAGAAAATATTTTGTTTCTATAATCTTAAAATTTATACCAATGAGAGCTTTATCATATAATAGAATATAGTCAAATAAAGGGTAAAAATCTGAAAACATCTATTAGTGAAAAAAAAACTTTTGAATATATTTTTATTTTACTTTTTTGACTTTTGAATCTATCATATAAGAAGATGGAAGTATCTCTCAAATTTCACACTCATACCAACTTTTGCATTCTCGTCTTCTCTAATTCTATTCTTTAAACATCCGTCGATTTTGTGCCTTGGACTTCTTCTGGTGATGTCATAGTTTGGGTATGGACTGAGTTTGGATATGAGTCAGTTGTTCCTTTGGAGCAACTGGTTCATATCTAAATTTCGACCATACCCAAACTTTAATATCACAAAAAGAAGTCCAATCCTTTAAGATATTTGGTATATGAGGGTGTCGTCAAATAAATTCCAAACAATACATAATTAGACAATTAGTAGTTGTTTTAGTGTTTACTTTTTTCCATTACTTGAACCATTCGATCGTTATTATAGTTATGTTTGAGCATGGCTAGAGCTGGACACTCATCTGAAAAATAGAAAATGCGGAAACAACATAATCGTCACCACAACCCAAGGCAAAATTCATCATCTCTGAACAACTTTGAAGCTTTTATTTTTTTCCATTTGTATCTTTTGTATATCATGAAAATGTAGAGTACGAGAATAGGCCATTATGTAATTTTTACAAGTATGAAAAGTTTAACTCATTCTTATTATGTTTTGATTCTTTGTCCATTTTGGTTCAATTCGGCTTAGTTATATTGTATCGATTGTAATTGGTCAATTTTTTTTGTCAAATGAAAAGTGAAAACCCAAGTTGATTGTGATATCCTACTACTATTAATGGGGGAGTACATAATTTAAATTAACCTAAGTTTTGTTAAAAATTACATAAAATTCTCATTACAACTATGACCATTTGTTAATTTCTTATAAAGGGTATGGTTGTAACTTTGATTAAATACTCTAATCGGATAAACACGCATGTTTAAAAACATCCTAAAAACTTAATCCAGGTTTTAATAGAAAATCTTGTCTGGTGATTGTTGAATAATTAATTTGTAAATGTTAATAGGAAAAGAGTAATAACCAATTGATTCAGATTTATTTTGGTATGATTTCGTCATCTACAATGTATTACTTTCTTCAGGCTTTAGATAGACTGTAACTCAATTTCAAAAGTTATCTTCTCCAAAGATGAGGTCTTAAACGTATAGAATTTCTTGAAATCCACTCAAGCTCTTCTAAATAATATCCACCATAGTTAAAATGTACGTTTGTGTGGCTGCTCTTGTTCATCGCCTCATGGAATAAAACAAAATAAAAGACAATTACGAATTTTTTTACTGGCAGTAGACAAAGGAAACTATCGGACGACTATGTATGTTAGAGACAGGGACATATTCAGAATCAGAAGCTACTCAATGAATCACAATTAACCAAAAAACTGAAACAATTACATCAATGACAGAGGAAAGAGGAGAAGAAACCGATTGCAAAAAAGAGGAGGCACCTGTTGCGACAGCCGACGAGATGGGTGGCTCGTGAGCCCTCAAGATCTCGCGAGATTATGATTGTTGTTGTGTTTATGTTTCTACGATGTTTCTCCAAATTTATCCATAACAAAATATAAAACAAAGAGCATGAATTAATATTAATACAAAACAAAAGATATTTAACTCCAAGAAATTTCTACCGGCAGTGGAAACTAAAAGAAAACAATCCAACGACTATGTATGATAGAGGTAGGGACAGATTCGGAAGCAACTCGATGAATCAAAAAATTTCGTCATTGTTGCTGGATAGAAATCAGAGCAGTTATTACCGCCGATGACGATAAGAAATATTTTTTGTATAAGCTAATTAAAAGCTGTTGAAAAAAAAAAGCTTACTTTTTTTGTTAAAATAGTATCATAAATTTATTTTAATTCAGGATTATCAAATCATTTTTGCTGATATATTTAACTAAATACAAACTAAATTTCAAATAAATATTTCAGTCGACCAAATTTTATTTTATATTAACATTAATAACTAATTTTTATAAATGATATTACCAATTATATTTAAATTCACAAAATTAAATTTTAACCAGCGAAAAATTTGGATATTCTCCATTATATGTTATGACATTCTTTTCATTAAAGCTATTTATCTTATTTTTAATTAATTGTTAAGAAATAGATTTAGTTAATATATAATCCTTCTTTCATTTTAAACATAGGCTATTCATTTACTTTATTTCTTCTCTTAATTTGTGTTTTCTCTTTTTCTTGTTTCATTCCATTCATACCAATGAGAGCTTGTTTCTCCACGAGAGGGTCTCTGAAACAAAAAAAGCACAATTTTGTCGAAATCAAAGAGACGATTCAGATCCCATTTTGTCGTTGACACAAGAACCAATCCACCCACAAGTTTTGGAATCAGAAATGAGTGAGCTTTGTACGAACCCTAAGAAACCCAAACTCAAAGAAGATGAAGAAGAAGAAGAAGCTAATGTCTCTTGCAGAGAAGAGCAAGAAGAAGTTCTTGTTGCTTTAGTAGAGCATCGTTCTAATGAAATTGAGCGTCTTAACCATCACATATCTAATTACCAAAACAAGGTCTCTCTCTCTCTCTCTCTCTCTTCAAAGTTTTGATTTTTCTCTGTTTCTATTTTGGTTTTCTAGATTATTCATAGTGAAATGATTGAATGATTTGTGGGTTTCTTAGCTTGTTGAAGCAGAAAGAAGTTTGCAGAATTCAAAAGCTAAGTTAGCTCAACTTCGTGGAGCTTCAGTTCCATCTATTAGTGCTAAGAAAGATAATAAACCATTGAAGACTCTTAGAAATGTGAATGTGAGTGAAGACTATGCATCTCCATCACCTAGCAAGACTCTAAGGCCCTGTGATAGCTCTGATCATCCCAGAAGTAGTAGTGGTAGTAGTGTCTCCAAGGCCAAGACTGTTGTTTTGAAGCAAAAATCTGAAACATCTCGTGATAGTCCTCATAAGGATAGAGGGATGAAGAGGAAATTTGGTAAAAGCACTTTTGAACATTAGTTATCTTGTATGTATTTGAGAGTTTTTTTTTAGTTTTGACTTGTTTTTGTTGTGTGTTGTTATTGCAGAGCAAAAGGAGCACCAAGAGTTGATTCGGTTGATAGCAAGAAACTCTTCACCAACTACAGTCAAGTGTCATACTAGTAACCAAATCTCTAGTCAGCATAAGAGGAAATTAAGAAGCTTGATTTTGTGTCCTGTAAATGAGCAGCTGTTTGCAACAAGGTACGAGATTACAAGACTCTTTAGTCTGGCTGTTGGGTTTAAAATGGGTTACAAGAATCTAATATTGTTCTTTGTGTTTTCATGTATCATTAAGTTCTCTGGATGGAATGGTCAGTTTATGGCAACTGCAGCCTGGAAGGTGGGTTTTTTCCCATTATAGTTGTTCTCTTTTCTCTGTGGATTGTTTATAGATTTACCTGATTGTTTGTTTTTGTAGCAAGTTTGTTATAAACAGACTTCTTCTGTTGATGTTAGTTTGGACTAGTCTCTTATTGGAGGTGATAAAAATGATGACTTTAATTTACTTGTTTTAGATCTTTTGGGTTTAGGGCCTCAGATTTGGATAGAATCATATGCATTGACGTATGAAACTCAAACCCAGTCCTTCGGTTTGCTTTTGTACTCAATGCATTAACTTAATTGAAAGGGGAAACATTAATGACTTAGTATCTTTGCTTTTGTACTCAATTTTTGTTTGTTTATCGTAGTGTATTCTGTTTGTTGTCTATAATGTTACTATACCAAACAGGGATTAAACAAATGGAAGAAGCTTGTTAGAAGGATGAGTATATATAATAACCAGAACACATGGAACACATTTTAGATATCCGGCTAGATCTAGACAGAGATTCAAATTTAATGGTCCTATCCCAATTAGGAAGAAACAATGTAAACCTGATTTAGAGCCAAATTAGCTCATAGAGATTGATGGTGTCTTTCCATGTAGGGAATCCATCTGATTTCTTATATTTTTGTGCGGTCTATTTAATTTCAGATTGGCTGCATCATTGCTTAGTAGTACCGACTGTTTATCTCGTAAACAAAGAAGATGGGCTGAAGATATGGCATGGCACCCATCTGGGAACACCCTTTTCTCTGTATACACTGCAGACGATGGGGATTCTCAGATATCGATCTTAAATCTGAACAAGACACGCAAGGTAAATGTTACTGCACCACATTTAGTACATGAAGTTTCTGATAACAAAGACTAAGACAACACAACACACTAGTTCTTTGCTTTTGGAAAGTATCTCAAACTAGGTATTTCTTTTGTGTTGGTGAAGGTTACTTTCCTGGAGAATAAACCTCACGTAAAAGGGATTATCAACAACATTAAGTTCATGCCTTGGGAAAGTACCTGCTTTGTCACTGGGGGAAGTGATCACGCTGTTGTTCTATGGAACGAGAGTGATGATGAAGAAAACAAATGGAAGTCGAAAACTTTACACAGGAATCTACATTCAGCTGCTGTAATGGGAGTGGATGGGATGAGAAACAAGAATGTTGTTTTATCAGTTGGAGCGGACAAGAGAATATACGGGTTTGATGTTCAAGTTGGTAGAGCAGACTACAAGCATCAAATAGACTATAAATGCATGAGCATTCTCGCTAATCCTTGTGACTTCAATCTATTCATGGTTCAATCCGGGTAAGAAGAACTTATCAAATATGGTTTTCATTTTTGCTAGCGGTTTTACTAAAGAAGAATCTCGACATTGTAATGTCAGGGAACCCGAGAAACAGCTTCGACTGTTTGATATCAGATTAAGGAAAACCGAACTCCATTCGTTTGGGTGGAAGCAAGACAGCAGTGAATCACAATCAGCTCTAATAAACCAGTCTTGGTCTCCTGATGGTCTATACATAACCTCAGGCTCAGTCGATCCGGTCATCCATGTTTTTGACATCAGGTAACTCTTTCTCAACATCAATGGCTCTCTGTTTACACACTATGTAAGAAGTGATTGTATTGATGTTTTACTCGTGGTAGGTACAATTCTCGTAAACCGACACAATCAATAAAAGCGCATCAGAAACGAGTGTTTAAAGCGGAATGGCATTACTCTCAACCACTACTCATCTCAATATCTTCTGATCTCAACATTGGTCTGCACAAGATCTCATGAAACTTTTGAAGCTCTCATATGTCTTTGTTCCTCATTTCTTATTATCTGAGGATACAGGTTCAGGTGGCTTAATATTTTATCAGTCATCGTACCAATTCTTAGTTTAGACATAAACATCATTCCCATATTGTATTAAACTCTCAAATTTATAAAGGATTCGTTTATTATAACATTACTGCAGAAAGAAAGAACAAAACACCTAAGATTAAAAAAAAAAAAAAAAACTCAACCTTTTGGCCAAAAAAAACAGAAGAAATCTCAAAGTTCTGTCTTTTTCTCTCGTTGTTCTCACCCTCAATTGGAGATGCAGAGAATCTCCATTATTGTCTCCGGAATCAGAAGATTCTGCGTCGCCTCTCTCTCGTCATCTTCCGCTTCAAACCTCACCGGTAAAAATTTCTTCTTTGTATCCAAATCAGCCATTTCTGTGGAATTCCATGACTGATGTTTCTTAGGGTTTTACTTTTCTGGTCTGGGGTTTATCTAATTGTCATCAATCTCCAGTTTTATGGTGTTTACATAGCTTTTTGGGTTGATTCGTCTTTAAAGTTTCTCTCTTTTTGAAATTTGGTGAATTGTGCTAAAATTCACCTATAAAGTTTCATGCTTTCTTTTGTAGATCATCGGATGTTGAAACAAGTTCTTGAATCATGCAAAGCTCCTTCAAATTCTAAATGTGTTCTTCAAGCACATGCTCATATCTTTAAACTTGGATATGGAACATATCCATCTCTTCTTGTCTCCACAGTTGCAGCTTATAGACGCTGCAACCGTTCATATCTTGCTCGACGGCTTCTTCTTTGGTTCCTCTCTTTGTCACCTGGTGTCTGTAACACAAACGTAATCATTGAGAGTCTTATGAAAATTGGAGAGTCTGGTTTGGCCAAGAAGGTTCTTCGTAACGCTAGTGATCAGAATGTGATCACCTGGAATTTGATGATTGGTGGTTATGTTAGAAATGTTCAGTACGAAGAAGCTTTGAAAACTCTTAAGAATATGCTTAGTTTTACTGATATTAAACCGAATAAGTTCAGTTTCGCTTCCTCTTTAGCTGCTTGTGCCCGTCTTGGAGATCTACACCATGCAAAGTGGGTGCATTCTCTGATGATTGATGCTGGGATTGAACTTAATGCAATATTGTCTTCTGCACTTGTCGATGTGTATGCAAAGTGCGGAGATATAGAAACTTCGAGGGAGGTTTTCTATAGTGTTAAACGGAATGATGTGTCGATTTGGAACGCGATGATCACGGGTTTTGCTACTCATGGGCTAGCCACAGAAGCAATCAGAGTGTTTTCAGAGATGGAAGCAGAACATGTTTCACCAGATTCTATAACATTTCTCGGGCTTTTAACAGCGTGTAGCCATTGCGGTTTGCTCGAAGAAGGGAAAGAGTACTTTGGTCTAATGAGTCAGCGGTTTTCAATACAGCCAAAGTTAGAGCACTACGGGGCTATGGTTGATCTGCTAGGCCGGGCAGGACGGGTAAAAGAAGCTTATGAGTTGATAGAATCAATGCAGATCGAGCCAGATGTGGTGATTTGGAGGTCTCTTCTTAGTTCCTCCAGAACTTACAAGAATCCCGAGCTAGGAGAAATCGCGATACAGAATCTTTCAAAGGCAAAGAGCGGAGACTATGTGTTGCTTTCGAACATCTATAGCTCCACGAAGAAATGGGAGAGTGCTCAAAAGGTTAGAGAATTGATGACTAAGGAAGGAATCCGTAAAGCAAAAGGAAAGAGTTGGGTGGAATTTGGAGGGATGATACATCGGTTTAAGGCAGGGGATACATCTCATATAGAAACAATGGCTATATACAAAGTATTAGAAGGTTTGATACAGAAAACGAAGTCTGAAGGATTTGTGTCTGACACAGATTTGGTGTTAATGGATGTCTCTGAAGAGGAGAAAGAGGAGAACTTGAATTACCACAGCGAAAAGCTTGCGTTGGCATATGTGATCTTGAAGAGTAGTCCAGGAACAGAAATTAGAATTCAGAAGAATATACGGATGTGTAGTGATTGCCACAACTGGATAAAAGCTGTGTCGAAGTTGTTGAATAGAGTGATTATAATGCGGGATCGGATACGGTTTCATAGATTTGAAGATGGGTTGTGTTCTTGCAAAGATTACTGGTAAAAGAGATAGGCTACAAGAGCTATCTATCTGCATTCTTTCTTCGCAAACTCGCAAAAGGAACGATCAAGAAACTGAAATATTACAGGAACTTTTAAGCTGAGTTGAAGCATGAAGCTGAGTTATCAGATAGATGCACTCTGAACTATTGAGAAAGTTTAGTAAGTTTTGGGAATGTTAAAGTTTTATGGAAACTTGGTGATTTACCATTTTGTCCTACTAAAGTGGCAGTAATGTGTCTTGGATCGGAGGGTATAAGGGTAATAATAAAGAAATGTTAGAATTGAGAAAAAAAAATCCGACCTGCCGGAATCGAACCAGCGACCTAAAGATTATCTGTTGTGAACAACTACAGTCTTCCGCTCTACCAACTGAGCTAAGGTCGGTTTGTGATTTCAATCAACTTTTTATAATCATATTATATTATGTTTCTTTTAGACTGTCACGTAAATCTTCTCATATTTGCAAGAATACTCTAATCCGTCAACACAACACAATGCACCATCAAAACTTCACTGGACCATCATCATGAAGACTACTCGGATGGCAATATGTAATTCACTTCTCTGATCCTACGCTACACCGGACTGGGATGAAACACTTTGATCCTTGCACTTGCACGGTAGAAGGTACAACACCACTGACTAAACCCTCCTCTGTTTTCAAGCCATTGTCTATCATATTTGGAGAGAAAGGAATGAGCTAAAGCATCTACATCGGCTCTCTATCTCTCCCGTATCATGTACAAATAAATTATTTCTCTCATCACTTCGCTTCATAATCCTCCAGGCTCCAAGCTAAGTGACTTGATGCAGCGTTGGTGCCCCACACGAACTTGATCTTCTCTCGGACTTCTCTGTGTTGGCCTTTGCAGGAGAAGCACAAAACCTTCTCTCCCATTTGTCTTTGTCTTATAAATTGGTTCCACTATAAACACATTCTTTGTAATTTATTTCATTTGTTGATTAATTAATTTAACATAATAATAAAAAAAGTACATGATCATCAAGAAGAAATGTAATTCTCAAGATCACATATATAGAAGATTATGTTCAAGAACCATGAAAAGCCAAAAAAACTTCATTGATCCATATATATATATTAAAGTTTAGTTTCCCATCAGCATAAACTGACTGACCAGTCTTGGTCAAAAAGACATGAGAACACTTGAGGAAGAAAAACAAAACATAAATGAATGAAAAGTTATTATCGCAAACTATGTAATAATAGACTAAAAATCTCCTCATTTTCTTTGGCCTCTTGCAAGTACTGGAACCTTACTGGATTTGCACCGAACTTGGAACATAAGAGCACATATGTAGATTACTTTCGGGTTTTCTACATTCCACTTCTCTGCAGTATCCATTCTCTCCAACCATGTAAGATTTGTAGTTGATCCACGTTTTGCTGTCTATATAACAAATCATTGCTACTTTCTTCTTCTCGTCGACGAAGAAAATCCAATATGGAAACCAAAATCTTTCAGTCAATAGTCTCATATCAACTTTTAAGAAGTTGCTCCACAACACTATATTGGGCTCAATCTTAGTTGTAATCCATATTTTCATCTCATTTGTATCACACTTCGTAAATAACAGTACAAGCTTCTCTGTTCTAACAGTAGATAGAATTACAGCATCCTCAGGACAAGAGCGAAATGGAAGAGGAAGACGCGGTCCAAATCTCTCACTTGTAAAATCAAAAGAAAGTAAAAATCGTTTTACTTTAAATTTTTCATGAGCAATAGAGTAAGCATTGCCCTTCAAGGACACACTCCAACTACTATATATATTACAGTCGGTAGTGACATCAACCCTCCATGCATTAGACTTAAAATCGTAGATTTCATACTTAAGGTGGAAAGACGAGAACTTCAAGATTTTGTGGTTGTTGTTTGTGTCAAATCCCATAGAAAACATGTCTAATATAGACAAGTTGTTTCTAGTTCGGATCCACCTGGTTTGGCCCAAATACGGGTTCCAAACCATGAGCCTAGAATTATCCTTAGCGTTGCATAACAACAATAACAATAAGCCATCACAATGAAACAGTACTTGACTTATTTTGACTTGATTAAGTTTACCTATTTGCTTTAGAGATGGATCTGCCAAGTCTTTGTGATTATGGAGATTGACGCTCATTAAACAAGCCTTATAATCATATATCATGATCACCAGAATCTCCTTGGCTTCTTTACCATAATGGTTTTTTGTAAAGCTCGGATCTTTGGATAAATCATTCCATTGTTTACAAGTTAATCTCACTGCTCTCAAAGATGTTATTGGAACCCTAGAGAGTATCTCTTCTACCAAATCCCGGGAAAGATCAGACATCGTCGACATTTTTTTAAATAGAGATTAGGGTTTTTAACTTTCACGATTGCCCACACTAATCTTTTTTTATATATATAGAGTAAAAAAAATAGTAAAGATAAAGAAATACATACGTATAGGCGTATAGCCCTTTAACATTAAAAAAAAAGATAAATAAATACGTGATTTACTTTCTTTTTTTTTGGAATATTTCAGGAAAATTGTTGCTACTAAATTAGTTTTTCTTTAAGCAACAAGTTTTCTAGAATTAATTCAGCTTGCTAATTCCAAATTCCGTATCAACTAGATTGTTGCTACTAGATTTTTTCAACATTTGTGAGTTTCTTTCATTAGATCAGCTCAAAGCATAAAGGTGTTCTTTATATACAAGATATTAAACCAGATAATAAACCATAAACTTAAGTAACATTAAACCAGAATATAAGACTTCTAATTCTCGTATTCCATTCTATCATGTGCTTGTGACCTCTATAACATTCTCAATGAGAGAAGCATATATATGTGAAATTGAGAAGCATGAAACTGAAATCACAATGAACTTCTGGTGGTCATGGTAATGACACATAGAGTTCACCACCAGTTAAGCAATCTGCTTTTGATGCATAAATTTTACATTCATACAACAAAAAAAATCACCAATAGAGGAATGTGCTTAATCGACCAGAATTATCCACAAGCTCTTGTTCAAGAAATCCACCTTTTTCAAGAACCAATAACTACCAAATGACCTCCCCATTCATAGACATTTGCAAAATCTTGATAACCACTCCAGTAGGCAGTGAGTCCACAACAGATCACATTGATGGATTATTGATGTTGCCTTGCAAATTCAGATGCTATCACAACAGCGGCCCACATGCGACAATAAATTCAAACATTACATCACCACAGATCTTTGTTCCGTGCATCAACAAAAGACTAGCAAAGAGGATCACTCCAAAGAAGAAAACGAATTGTTGTAAGTTTTTAACAAAACCTGTAACTACATGGAAATAATTGACCAGTCTTGTTCAAAAGGACATGAGAACACTTGATGGAAAAAAAAAACATAAGTATTAATGTAAACTATATAATAAGACTAATGAATCTTGTCGTCTTGTAAGTACTGGAACATTACTGGATCTGCATCGAACTTGGAACATAAGAGCACATATGTGGCTGACAGATAGATTCTCCGAGATCCACTTCTCTGTAGTGTCCACCCTCTCCAACCATGCAAGCTTTGTAGTTGTCCCTCGTTGTATAGTCTACATCACAAATCACTGCCACTTTCTTCTTCTCGTCGACGAAGAAACTTCCATTTAAATAATGAAATCTTACCATGTCAAGTTTTAAGAAGTGGCTCCACAATACTTCATTGGGCTCAATCTTATTTGTAATCCATATCTCTATCTCTAATGCATCACGCCTCCTATATAACACTGCAAGCTTCTCTTCTCTAACAACAGATAGAATTACAGAATCTTCAATACGACAGTGACATGGCAGAGAAAGGCCCAAAAATCTCTCTCTTGTAAAATCAAAACAGAGTAAACAACCTTTCGACGTTACTTCTTCCACTTTCCTCATTCCCTGAGCAATAAAGTAGCTATTTTTCTGAAAGGACACACCCTGACCACGTATATACAACTCCATAGTGATATCAAGAACCCTCCATGAATTACACTTAAAATCATAGATTTCACAAACATAATTATCAATCCAATAAGAAAGCCTCAAGATTTTGTGGTTGTTGTTGATGTCGTATCCCACACAATATATAACAGAGCCTGATATGTCGTCGTTTCTAGGTTGGATCCACCTGGTTTGACCCGAATACGGGTTCCATACCACGAGCTTATATTCATGAGTGACGCATAACAATAAGCCGTTGCAGTGAAATACTTCACATATTTTGACGTGTTTAAGTTTACCTATTTTCTTTATAAATGGATCTACCAAGTCTTTATGGTTGTGGAGATTGATGCTCATTAAATAAGCCTCAAAATGATACATCATGACTACCATAATCTCCTTAGCTGCTTTACCACAATGCTTAAAGCTCGGGTCTTTGGAAAAAGTGTTCCATAGTTTACAAGTTGATCTCACTGCTCCTAGAGAAGTCATCGGAACCCTAGACAATATCTCCTCTACCAAATCCTGTGAAAGATCAGATATCGACGTCATTGTTTTCAAATAGAAATTAGAGTTTTTAACTTTGACGCTCTTGGGCACTACTCTTTTTATAGACAAACTAGATTATGAAGATCCACATCAAAGTGAATAACCTAAAATATAAATCAGCAATAAAATAGTCTCGTGATTTGTAGAAAATATTGAAAATCATCATGAATAATTTTAATATATATTAGAAAAATTAATAATTTATAATAATTTTACCCAAGTTTCATTTCTTTTTTTTGTTTATTACATTTTCCAATTTTACTTTACATTTTTTCAAAAACCATATTCTTTTTTTCTTTTAACTTTCCATTTTTTTTCTAAACATTTAACACTTTATTTTAAATAAGATGGTAAAGTTTTCCGATTGGTGATTATACTCTAAATATGTTCTATTAATTAATGATAATTGATATTTTAGTATATAAAAAAAATATTTGATTTAAAAAAAATATTAGAAAATTTACATAGATTCTTAATATGTGTACCAAAAACCTTAAACACCTTTAGAGTAAAATATATTGAATATATGCTAAAAGTAAATAATCTATATTGAAGTGTCAAAATGATAAGTTAATTAGCATCAGTAGATTTTTTTATATTTTTGTTTCTAATAGAAATTTATCTATGTATTTGATGTGCAAATTAATCATAGATCAAAATCAAAATGATCAATATATAAATTAAGCCATAAGAACAACAACAAATATATTAGACCAAAAAACAAAAAAACAAATCTGACGTGGTGAGTGGAAAAAATAAATCTGACGTGGCGAGTGAGAGGGCTTGTGAGGAGCACACTCTTCCACATCTTTCTCCAACTCTTGTATTCTACACTCTTCCTTCTTATCACTTTCCTCTTCTTCTCCGACTCTGATCCCACCACACTTTTGACTTTCACTCAATGGCGATGCAGCTTTCTCCAACGACTCTTTACGCCGGAAGATCCTCCGTGGTCTTACCTCCGATGACTCCAACCCTCCACAGATCATCTTTCTTGCCTTATTACTCGATGAGACTACTTGGCAACAAGAAGTCTCTTTCCAAATCTTCATCCTCTGCTCCTAGATTCTCCATGCGTGTCTCCTCCAAGCAAGCCTATATTTGCCGTGATTGCGGGTCTCTTTCAATCTTGATCTCTCTTTTCTCTCTTCTTGATTATCTCTAACATACAAAGTTTGTTTAACTATTTCTTTCTCTTTGATTTTGCAGGTATATTTACAATGATAGAACTCCATTCGACAAGTTGCCTGATAACTATTTCTGTCCAGGTATGGTCATTCCTGTTTAAAGAATCGACAAGTAAGTTGTTGCTTTGACTAGTTGGGATTGTGTTTGGTTTCAAATGGGTTCAAGGTTTTGTTTGCAGTGTGTGCTGCTCCTAAACGGCGTTTTAGACCGTACATGCCTGATGTGAGCAAGAATGTCAACGACAAAGATGTGAGAAAGGCCAGAAAAGCTGAGCTCCAAAGAGACGAAGCTGTTGGGTATATAAAGGACCCTCCTTTCTCATCAATTTCACATATTTGTTACTCTGTTTCTTATAGTTATCTTATGGCAATAACGCAGGAAGGCTTTGCCTATAGCAATTGCGGTTGGAGTTTTGGCTCTCGCAGCTCTTTACTTCTATGTCAACAACACCTCATGAATGCAGCATCAAGAGAAGCTACATTCTGCTTTTGAAATCATAATTTTGTTTTGTATAAACATTCATCTTCGACTTGTTGACCACTGTAATGAAGTAAAGTATTGAGCTTTCTATGTACCAAAACTATACTGAAAGTGGCTGAGATGAGATGAATAAAGAGGCTAAGTGTGGTACAGAGGAGATTAGACAACAGAAAAGGGGTTAACATTGGCTAGTCTTGCAAGATAAGGGACCCTTGGATTGGTTTATCAATTGAAGATTGATAAAGGATGTTCAAAGCAGACAAGTTTTCGTTGATGCTTGATGATGTCGCTGGCTTGAACTCGTACGGACCTTCCTTTGGTCCCCAAACCTGCCATGTCCCAAAACCAAAACCCATTTCATATGAGATTTTTTTTTGAGAATTTGTTGGTAGTAATATCTTGAAACAATCCAATGCATTCGATAAGTGCGAGGAAGATGGGATGTACCTGGTTTCGATTCTCATCAAAGCCGCGATCCCAGAGGTGTATCTCATTGTTTTTCAGAACTGCAAGATCTGAAGTACAATAGCTAGCCCCGTTCTGCAATCCAAGAAAGAAACGTCAAGCGTTTTTGTGTGGAAGAAGCAGAGTGTAAAAACCGATATACAGTGATTTTTCTTATAAGAACATTACCCATGAATTTGGAAATCCACCAGGTGAAGTTGAGCCTTCGTACAAGCATCGTTTCCCACGGTCACAACAATTGAGGTGTATAGTTGTCAAATGCTCCCCAATATCCTATTAGTTTAGTCCATTATAAGCTTAATTTCCAGTAACCAGATATCTCTATCGATACAAAACCTTAAGACTTACACCAATAACTTCTTCAGGAAGTGGGCGTTGGTCCTTAGGGCGGTCACAAAAGTTTTTGTATTCCTCAGCATCTCTGATTGCATATGAACTTACCTGGAATAATACTGCTTCAAACTCTGTTGCATTAGAATACATAAAAAGATCTCAACAACTCATACTCACCTCGACATCACATTTTAGCTCTTTTGGACATGGTTTCACCATATATAATCTCTGCAACCAAACCAAAAAAAGGTAAAACGATGCATAAGACTTCAGCAGCACTACACTTTTCTAATGGGATAATCCGTGAGGGGATGATTGCATACTTGTCGAAACGGTTTCTGAGGAGTCCTCCAAAATGCCTGAAGAAAAGAGAGAAAAATGGCTTAAACAAAGAAAACACACATTTACATCATTCACCGTAACACAACGGAGAAGTAAAAGATCGGTCACCTGTTCGAGATACAAAACCTCTGAACCATCCACCATTTCAGCAGCAGGACAACTCAGCATTCTGCACAACAATTTCAAAACTCAGATGCCAGAAACAAACTAAAGATAAGAGATATAACAGTTTCAATCTTGAACCAACTTCCAAATAGAACATCAAGGTCTAAATTCCACTAAAGTTTGAGAAGAAGAACATCATAAACCTTATGTTGAAGTAATTCTCAGGATCTCTTGACGCTTGCTCCCTTGTAAACTTCAAAACCATGTAAACAAAAACCTCAAAATCAGAAATTTATAGTCAAAAATCCTCAAGTGTAAGCATTGAGATTGTGGGTTTAAAAAACCTTCTCTCCGGTGAGAGAACGAGAGACGACACGAGCGTGATCTCTACGAGTGGTGGATTTAGTGAGACGCTTTATGAGAAGAGCACCGCCAATTAAAACCAGAGTCTTGACCACTAGACCACGAGCACGGCTCCAACCGTTTGAGCTCGATTCCGGATCCGAACCCGACTCTGTACCCATTAAAAGGTTTCGAATTTAGTTTAAAGATTCCATCTTTAGTATCTGTTTGTTTCTCAGGAGCAGAAAATTTTGCCGATTAGAGAAAGAGGAAGAGCAGGAGGAGGAAGGTTGTGACGATCGACGTTTTCGTTTCTCCGAACCAGTGGTGAGATTGTTTGCCACGTGTAAGCTTTCTTTTTTCCTCACTTGTTGTTTTTAGGGGGTTTTAACCAAACCGAACCGAAATACTTAAACCGAGCCAAGCCGGAAAAGGAAAAAATTGATCGAAAATCAAAGTTTTTTTAAAAACAATTTAGGATGTATTAACTAAAAACTGAATTTAAAGTTTAAACCATACCAAGCTATCCATGGTAAATTAGAATTAAGTTTGGATACAATTGTGGGATCCCTACAATTATTTTGAAACCGAAAATTCGAGTAACCTAAAAACCGAAACGAATCCGAACCGAAATCTCGATAATACACTCTGAATTTTTAACTTATGTGTAATATTGATCTACTCTTATGACTTATCATTTATTTGTTTTTTTTTCTTTGAAATTCCATTTATGACATAAATAACACCTATTAATTTATTGTTAACAAAATAAATTCTTACTATAGTTGGATCAAAAATGTTGAAATATTCGATTTGGAATTTAACATATGCATAAGTGATTGTGAGAGCATATAAACTGAAACTACAAAAGGTTCTATTGAACATAACGAGATTAATAATTATTTTTAAAAGCCAAAGAAAACGGTGAATTATATATATCACTATGAACATATTTATAAACCAAAAAGAATGATCACAATCACAAATACAAAAGAAAAAAAAAAAGGAAAAGAAGAGAAGAATCTAAACATATTCATAGATAAATGGTTCTTCATATCAACTCTTGTATCTTAAGGAATCAAACTAAAAACTAACTTCAGTATCAACTCTTGTAGAACACCAATTTAATCTTCTCTTTAGAAATTGATCTCACGTCTCTCAGCAAAGAACTTTCCAGTGATAGCTTGATCAGGAAGCAATGCAAGCCAAACTCCAGTGTCAGCTCCATCTTCTGCTGAGATGTTCCCTGCATAACCTGTCATTGCGGTTTTAACCCAACCGGGACAAAAGCAGTTTGCATATATCTTCTCTCCCTCTGGTCTCTCAGATAGTTCTCTAGCTAGTACTCTTGTGTATGCGTTCACCGCCATTTTCGAGACAGAGTAGTCTGTGAAAGAATGTGGCCAACCTCCAGATTCCCATGTTCCTTCTTCCACTTGTTTCAAAAACTCTGAGACTGTTTTGTCAACGATTTCTTCTGTTAGAGAGTCCACATCCATAAGCTTCGCTCTCACGGCTTCATTCTCAAGTTTCTGTTGAAGAGAATTAGGTAAAAAAATTGTGTTGCTACATAATGTTTGAGGAATAAGAATCAAGTTAGAGAGATATATAGATGTATATGTACACTGTGTCGGCCTTTTAATCTACCGAGCCTTGAAGTGACATTGACAATACGAGCTCCTTGACAAGCATGTCTCATCAATGGAATCATGGCTTTGATTATGTTCTTGGTACCATAGTAGTTGGTAGATATAACCATATGCGAGAACTCAACGGAGTTATCTGATCCAACATTGTAGTTTACTCCTGCATTATTTATCTACAAGATGAAAAGATTTCACATTATATAATTCATCAAGAGAAAAGCCTATATATATCATCAAACTCAAATGTGATATAAATGAATGAACAAAGGAATAAACTTACTAAAACATCAATCAATCCATATTTTTCTTTAATCCATTTGCAAAACTCTTGAATTGAGGAAGAGTCCAAGATATCGAGGCGGTGGAAATCAACATTGAATCCACCTTCTTGAAGGATCTTGGCGGCTTCCACGCCTACATTCTCGTCTCTTGATGTTAGAATAACTGTTAATCCATGTCCAGCCAGTTGTCTCACCATTTCAAATCCTATCCCTCTATTTGCACCTGTTACCACCGCCACGGTTTCAGAGGTCCACCACCTAAACAATCCCCCATTCAAGAATAAAAACCAATATGACACTTCGTTATACGAAAGACAAAAAAAAAAAAAAAAGATCGAATGAATCATAGATAAGAAATCATAAAATTATTTAAACTTCCAACAAAATTGTTTTCAGTTTGAAATATCGATGGAAGTTATCATGTAACATCAAGAGAGATCAAATAATCAAAATGCAATGGAAACAAGAATTTCATAATTGCATCTCTTGGACGATAAACTTGTACAAGTAAACTAGTTAATTTAATTTATATGTTTTGATTAGGCCTAAACGTAATTCTTCCTTATAATGAGTGAGGGATATATACAAACATTTTTTATAAGCAAAATATCATAAAAAATTAACACATAAAATGTTTCTCGCTCAAGGACCCTGCACATGTGACAATGCTACATGCACTAGCGGATCCAAAGTCCAAACCACCAAATTTCTTCATACAAGAGGTTACGTTAAGGAAAATAAAATTTAGAATGAGAATCGATACCTCTGGTGATCAGAGTAAGGAATAGTACGAAGGAGGGAGATCTCTTGGAGTCTCTTATCTCGTTTCTCTTTCGATTTTTCTTTGCTTCCTACCATCTTTCTCCTTATTTTCTCTCTTTCACGATCCTAAGTTTGTTTATTTTTTGACAAGAGGAGGCACGAACGAACACAGAGCTTCGTCGTCGTTCTCATCTCCCTCTCACGTAATTTTCTCATCCTTTTTGTGGGTCAAAAGGTGCAATCCCCCAATTTCTGCGTAAATTTTTTGTGGCCTCTCATTTCAAATTCATATGATTCCTATTTTTAGTTATATAATCTGTTATGGGAACATAATTATAACTAAAGTTGTTTATCTTGTTTTAATTTCTATTTATTCGACCGTTTGGTTTTGTGGAGGTTTAAAATCCATAATGGAAAGTTCAATCTTATTTAAGAGTATCTCGACTCTCACTATGACGACCGACATGCATGTCACGTTGCATCCTCTCACTTTTTAATAAAATTTAGATGAGACTCATTTTTTGCATCGCTCAGGCTCACACACTCTCATCTAGCACTTATTCTGGTTTTGATATGTATTTGTATTTTCAAGTTTTACAATTTTTTAAAAATAATTTTAGATTTTCTTATCTCTGTTCTATCATTATGCTAGAGAATGTTACCTCTATTGGATTATTAAATAAATAGAAATCTTCTTGTGCAAGTCAATTGTTGTGGAATAATTTGATAAGTGGGTTAGGTAGTATTATGCTTAAACGAGTATTTGAATCACATGATTTGGTCGGAATTAAAACCAAATGGAAAAACGTTGATTGTTCTATTTAACTAATTGGTTGGCTGGATGTATTACTGATTTTCTCTAGTATAGAGTAAATACAGTTATCTTTTCATTGCGGTTTAAACCATTTAAAAATTTGAGTTGAAATACTTGCCATCATTTTATAATTTTTTAAAAATTTCATTTCATTTTTTTTTAAAGAAATAAAAAACCATAAATTAGTAAAAAAACTAAGCTCAGAACAACGGACAAAAAAACAATTAAACAATACTACAATTTATAACTCGCGCATAAAATGGAATGAACTATCAAATCATCTAATAGATTTTGTTGTTCTATTTCTCAAGATTTTTGTCGACTTTCGGTAAGATATCAATTTCTACATTGTTTTGCCCAAAAAAAAAAAAAAAAAAAAAAAAAATCAATTTCTACATTGTTAAGCCAAAAAAAAAAAATGTAGTCATAATCCTATGTGATCAAGAGAAGGCCACGTCAAGTATAGGCCCATTAATGGGTCCATAAGTACCACTTTCATTACAAAACAAAACTTTGCTTTCTTCATTCGCAGCGACAAGAGAGAAAACAAAACAAAAATGGCTAGCCGAAAAGCTCTGATTAACGTTCACCGGATCATTCGCTCCAACGCTGTGGTTGGCCGGAGCTCCGTCGTTCCTGCCGCCGCTAACCGGACATATCCTATTTTCCGGTAATCTAACTTTTCATCCACCGTAATAATAATGATCTTTCTCTGTTCGTGAACACGCCTGAAATTGTGGGATTGATCTTTTTCTAGGAATGGAGTTGATTCGGGGACGAGATTCTTCTGTGGTAACACTGCGACTGCTCAGAATTTTGATATTGATCTCTCTAACGAAGAGAATAAGAGAAGAACGATCAACAGGTATGGTTTAATTTCGGATTCTTACGTTTGTTTCCAAAAATCAAATGTCGGAGATTGATTGTTTTAGGGTTTTGGTAATAGATTGTTGTATAGGAGCAAGCAACGAGGTTTTTTGGAACTTGATCTTGTTTTGGGGAATTGGGTTGAGGAGAATGTTGATTCCATGGACGAAAATGGTGTTAAATCCCTAATTCATGTCCTCAATTTGGTATGTTTCATTGTCTCTTTATCTGAATATCTCTTATGTATATTAGTATCTGCATGGTTAGGTTGAATTTGAAGCTTCCAATTTACTTGTATGGAGGAATTGTTTAGGCAGATTGAGGCTGTTTCTGTGATCTAAGCTTGAAATGATCCATTTAAGAGTTAGGGGAATGTTATTCTCAATTGATATCAGTTTAGAGGACATGCACAGTAATGGCTCTTCTGCGGTAACTAGATGTGAAACCTTGATTCTGTTCATAGTGACCTCAAAGGGGGAATCATGAATTTGTAAGATGATTGGATTCAATCTTTCTTGCTATTTGTTAATTCATTTTTGTGCTCTATGCAGGAAAACCCTGATCTCTGGAAATGGCTAACTGAACAGGAACAGCCTCCGGAGGCAGTGAGCTCTAATCCGGTAACCACAATCTCTTTAGTTGAGCCTACGTTTAAACAGTCTTCTTTTGTTTACTTCAATGATGAAAACAATCCTTGTTGTGATGTTAAAGGTGTTCTCGGCGTTACACGAGAAAGTTATGAAGAATCTGAACAAGCATGCAGCACCAGAGACACGTGCAGCGGCTGGACAGCCCTGGGTCAAAGGCTGGGACGATTTCAAGAGAGGCCGTGATGCTCCTATTTCAGGGAACCAGTAAACATAAACTCCTCTTTACAGAAGCAACAAACTGAAAATACGTTATGATATGAAGTATCTGAAAATAGATATCAAATCGTAGCAACCATTACTTTTACTATTGTATTAATAAAGAACCAGGCCGTGAAGAAGGTCCATTGACGTTGAGATAATTACAAAGTTGTGTCTTGTACTCTTGTTTGTTGAAGTTTCTTGATAGTAATATCAGTATCATGGGATTGTGGTTTGATTCTCTATATATGTGCCAAGTTTGAATATTCGAGACCGTGGAACCAATAATTTCACTGCGGCTATTAGTAAGCTATGGATGCACTAAAAATCTATCAAGTTCCAGGACAAGTTTGGTAAAGGTAAGCCTCTTGAATTTTGTGTATGTAGTACTCTTACTTCAGCAGTGGTGAATGTGAGGAGAGTTGTGGACTGTCAAAAATAGAGATTTTATCATGGTTATTTATGTTTAAACAGTTATCCAGATTAAGATCTCAACGCTACCAACGTCCTAAATTTTACTATCACCTTTTTTTGTGCTTTTTTCTTCGGTACTATTTATGCAAACAAGGCTGAATTTTCTTGATAGTTCCATTAAGTCGGATTAGGCCATGGCATTTGAATGTTAGTCCAAAATGTTCTGGGCATTTGAACTAATTTGTAACATCTCAACCTTGATCTGTGGATTAACAATTGTTCATAAAGTAATATTTTGGACCAAACTATGGTTAAACAAAGGATTAACAATCTATTTCTCACGAGACAATCACATCACACTAGAGAAATCCCAAACTAAGGCTCAATGCTAGATATCTGCAAATAAAAGTTTGAAAGCTTGGCTCTATTTGGTGCAATGTGATAGTTCTCGTGAGGAAATAGATCGTTATCTCTTAAGAAAAAATAACTTTTTTGAACTGGACTTTGTGTTATCAAGATGGGAAAATCAAGTGGATCGGAATGATGGGCTAGCGATTCATATTTGCTTGGGCTAAACAAAAATAATAAAGACGGGTATAGTTGGACTCGAGATAAGAAATAGTATTGACTAATGCAAGAAGAAGAAAATAAGTTGAACAGGGAGAAAGACGAAGGCACAAAAAGGGAAGCCACATTAAAAAAAAATCTGACAATTAAGGAAAAATCGGTCAAATGAGATAAAAAATCCCGCTAGGATATGAAATTAAAATCCAATTAATGGCAAAATAAAATGTGAATATCAGCCAAAGAAAGATAAGAAAAAAACAAGTGGATAGGAAACTCGACCGAAAAGATATAAAGATGGATGATTTTCTTTTATTTGGGACTTGGGAGACCATCCAATACCTAGAGAGAGGGAGAGAAAGAGAGGGAGCGGGAGCGGGAGAAGTGAAGAAAGAGATACGATCGATGAAGAGATATACAGTATGCACCGTGTTTCACATACGACCTAGCCATGAGATCAGGTGAGATTGGATTCGTAAAATCAATATATATATATGATCTTCTAGATTTTTATATGGTTTAAGGGTAATACATATGAACGTGGTGATTGAAAATCAAATTGAATGATGGCAGGAACATAGATATGAATATGGTGAATTGGAATCAATGGTCTTCCAGACCAAGAGAGATTTCAAGATGGTTATCATTTGAAAGATCATCTTGTGAAGAATATCCTCCAGATAGCGAATTAGTTTTGTCCAGGTGAGTGTTATAAGACCTCATAAAAAATATTTCATCAAAAAGCCTCGACTCAATTTTTTTTGCTGCCTCATTAATCGCTAGGGATGGAAAGGATTAGGATATCCAAAATGTTTGGAATATCTGAATCCAGACACGACTTTTGAATATCCTGATCCAGATCCGTGGCTTCTGAATATTCGGACTTCAAATATCCGTCCAAACATCAAGATATCAGCGGATATTCGAATCTGGATTTATATTTCCCACGATGAGATTATAGAAGCATCTTCTTTCTAGACATTTCCATCATCATTTATTCTACGGTATCTCGGTGAATGAGCCTGTAAATCATTATCTACTTTAGATAATGATTTACAGCCTCGTTCATAGTGCTACCGTTGAAAAAAGAATAATAAAGATAACTAAAAAAAAAAGATTTTTCTAGAGCATCTCGAAGTGGGAGATATAAAAAAATATATATTTTAATCAGGTATGTTTTTGTTGTTCAAAGTTACATTCTTTCCACATGATATACTATTTCTAGATTAGCTTATGGGTGTGTATTGTTTACATAGCTAACACCCTCACTTCTATGCATTTCACACAATGATCATTCACTAAAACATTAGCTATAGTTATCCCTTAAGGAATCTCTTAACCTCTTACAAGTACAATTAACCTCTATAAATTAATAATGTTGGGACCATGAAATTTTATTAATTTAGAGAGGCATTAATTTATCGATAAATAAACTAATAATTATTAATTTATAGAGATATTTTACCAATTTTATAATTTGTTATAAAAAAATTCTATCTAAAAACAAATTTTTTCTTTATAAGCAATGTCTTTTTAAAACCAATTGCAAGTAGAGAAGCAAATATTAAGTTTAAAAAACAACACAAATTTTTTTCGAATAATAGAATCATATTTCATTAAATTTTTGACATATAGTATTTTAAATATATATCATAGTTATTCATATATGACATATATAAATTTATATCATATATATATATATATATTAAGTTAAATATATATATATATATATATTAATAAGTTTATACAATTATTAATTTATAATATAGATGAGACCATATGTTTACATGGGATTTTCAAAAAAATTATTATCTTATCGATTTATGTCATATTTTACACCGGTCCCAACTCGAGATCGACAGAATTTATTAATTTAGAGAGGTTATTAATTTATAGAGTATTAATTTATAGAGGTTTTACTGTATAACCAACATTTTTATCAAATAATTATCATTTTGTGACTTAACATCAATCAATAGCTCTCGTTTGGTCATTTTAAGTATGGTACACACCCATAAACTAGTATAGAAATAGTATGTCATGGTAAAAGAATGTAACTTCGAACAACAAAACATACATGTCTAAGATTTGTATTTTCATATTTTCCACGATGAGACTGTAGAAGCATCATTCTTTTTAGTCATTTCCACCATTCTTTCTTCTACGGTTTTTTGGTATATGAGCCTATAAATCATTATCTACTGTAGATATGATTTACAACCTCATACATAGAGTCACCGTTGAAAAAAAAATGATGAACATAACTAAAAAATAATTCTTCTAAAGCATCTCCTCGTGAGAGATATGAAAAAAGAAAAAGAAAAACAAATTTTAGTCATGTATGTTTTTGTTGGCCGAAATTACATTATTTCCACCCGATATACTATTTCTATATTAGCTTATGGGTGTGTTTTGGTTACATAGCTAACAACATCACTTCTATTCATTTAATGCTCATTCAATCACATCAAAAATAAAACACAATGCTCATTCACTTAAAACATCAGCTATAGTTATCCTTCAAGTAATCTCTTAACCTTTTACAAGTATAACCAATATTTTAATCAAATAATTATCATTTTGTGACTCAAAATCTATCAAGAGCTCTCTTTTAGTCCATTTAAGTATGGAACATACCCATAAACTAGTATAGAAATAGTGTATCAGGGTGAAGAATGTAACTTGTAACAACATAAACATACTTGCATAAGATTTGTTTTTTTAATATTTTTACGATGGAACTGTAAAAACATCTTCTTTTTAATCAATACCACCACTCTTTTCTTCTACAGTATCTCGGTGTATGATCATGTAAATCATTATCTACTATAGAGATACTGTTGAAAAAGAATGATGAAAATAACTAAAAAGAAAATTCTTCCAGAACATCACATCGTGGGAGATATGAAAAAAAAAACAAATTTTAGTCAAATGTGTTTTTGTTGTTTGAAGTTGTATTCTTTCCACCCAATATACTATTTCTAGATTTAAAATATTCATGATTTCGCAATAGTAAAGATACAAATAAATTTTACTATATGATCTTTTTATATTTTAGGAATGATAATGTCTTTTTTTTTGGATTAGAAAGGATAATATTTTGGTGTAAAGGTTTATTTGTGAGAACAAAAATTTTAAAAAGAACTAGGATATAAAGAGGAACACAAACAAGGAAGAACTTATAGCACAACACATATTTTAAGCCACCTCTACAACTTATGTAGACTCTTAACATTTCATCCCAACTTATAGACCTAACTTAGCTCTAAAAGAATTGTTTCAATGTTTGATACCTATGAGAGTACCATTTTTTTTTTTGCCAGCCTGAGTACCATTATTTTAAACATGGGATATTGCACATTAACTTTTGGGATTATTACTGAACTGGGTATTTATTGGACCAAAAATTTCAGATAAAGGGTTATTTACCTGGGCTTCAGTTTTAGGGTACACATTTACCCTTGTCTTCTACATCTTTTCCTCCTCCTCTCCCCAAGCGCAACCCACCTTTCTTTCCCCAAACCACAACCCTTTTTTCTGACGACAACCATCATCTCTTTTCCCAACCACAACCCTCTTTTCAATTAATCAAGTGTTGAATAAAGAAAACTAAACCCTAGATAATATAGACTAAACCCAAGGGTAAATGCGTAACCGTCGGAGAGAGGTTTTCATGGCCGGAAATGCTATTTCTCCATTCATCTTTAATTCCAGCAATTTATCTTTAATTCCAGCAATTCATCTTCTATATTCTTTGGAGATCATTTTCTTTTGCCTAATTGAGTTGAAATTTGATTTAATTCAGAGTTTAGATTTTTGTTTTTTTAGTTAGGCTGCTGCAGTTTTGAAGGGTAAAATGGTCCTTCCATGACAAAAGTAATGCCTAAAACGTGAGTCCCGACGATCTGTCCTAAATCTATAATTTTTGCTGAAATAAAGCCCAACCCGGTAATTGATTCTTTAACGGTTTCAAATTTGGACCATTTATGCATGCTCCGGGAGGTGTGTCAAGAAAAATCTAGTCTCTTTGAACCTGTCAACAATCACCCAAAAATAAACCTTTTAGAAAATAATAAAATATGTTATACGAATTCCATTTTTTAAGTTAAAAAAAAAAGAGTTTATAATATTTCTAAACAAAGTTACGAATAAATCAATGAAAAATGGAAGAATATCCCATGAGAATCTCAACTCCGCACCATTGGAGAGATTGGCCTCTTCTTCCCACACCTCTCTCTCTCTCTCTTCTTCTTCTTCTTCTTCTTCTTCCTTCTTCTTCTTTCAGCTTCACCTGCATCAGCACATATTCCAATCTCTTCTTCAAATTTAGATCCTTTCTTTCTTCAATCTCTGTATTCAATTCATCTTTCTTCACTCGAATAACGGATTAGAGATTCTCTCTACGTTACGGGTTTTAAATGGTGACCGTTTCTGGAGATTCATTGCAGATCTGAATAGAAGGATGATATGATCACAAACCCAGAATCTCAAAATCTGATTTTTATTCCGATTTGTTGATCATCATCATGTCGACGACTCATGGCGTGGAACATGTTGGTTTACCAACGAAAATGGAAGCTACGAAATCGAAACAAGGTTGTTGCAACCCGGTTAAGAAACCCGGACCGGTTTCAATGGATCATGTTCTCTTAGCTCTCCGTGAGACGAGAGAAGAGCGAGATTTACGAATCAGGAGCTTGTTCAATTTCTTCGATTCTGAGAATGTTGGTTACTTAGATTGTGCTCAAATCGAGAAGGGTTTGTGTGCGCTTCAAATCCCAAGTGGGTATAAATACGCTAAGGAGTTGTTTAGGGTTTGTGATGCGAATCGAGATGGGCGTGTTGATTATCATGAGTTTCGTAGATATATGGATGATAAGGAGCTTGAATTGTATAGAATCTTTCAAGCTATTGATGTTGAGCATAATGGTTGCATTTCTCCTGAGGGGCTATGGGATTCGCTCGTTAAGGCTGGTATAATTTTATTTACATGCTACAAGTTCTTTATGCTCTGAGCTTATTTTGATCAAGAATCAAGAATCAAACTTGCAGATCATATTGTTGTTCATTAGTTGTTAGATTATTGGAGTAGTTAGTCTTTAGCAGGAGAGTTATAGATTTGGAGAAGTTTGTACTATTTCTTGTGATGCAATCTTGGAAAGTAAATGATGAGAATGATAGTTACGGAGATTTATGGTTCGTTGATAAGATTGTGCTAATTTATATGTATGTATGATCATTAGTTAAGATGAGACTCTTTTGAACCCGAGTGGTTAAGTAAAACATAATTTGTTTATAGTTTTTGGTTATTTGAGTATATAATTATCTCAAACATCTATGAAGTTTGAGTATGTTGTAGTACTTATGAAGACTTCCTACTGGTGTGTATTGGTTTCATTTTGGTGTACCATAGTTAACACCCTCAGTGAGTCATTTCTGTGCATTTAAGAATAAGGCTTGTGCTCAAATCTTGTCTCAGTTCTACGCGTAGACATTGAAACTATTGACCACCACTTTTTTGTTTATGCTCTGTTTTCGTCCTATAAGCCACAACAGTTTCTATTTTGCAGGGATTGAGATAAATGATGAGGAGCTTGCTCGTTTTGTGGAACATGTTGACAAGGACAATGATGGAATTATAATGTTTGAAGAATGGAGAGATTTTCTTTTGCTGTACCCTCATGAAGCTACCATTGAAAATATATACCATCACTGGGAAAGAGTATGCCTTGTAGATATTGGAGAACAAGCTGTTATTCCGGAAGGCATCAGCAAACATGTAAAGAGGAGCAACTATTTCATCGCAGGTGGACTTCCTTAAATTGTTAGGAGCTTAGTTTCTCTGAACAATGTAAAATGATTTGGTTTTGAAGTTTTCTGACAACATAATAGTGCTGTCACAGGTGGCATAGCTGGTGCAGCTTCTAGGAGTGCTACTGCACCTCTAGATCGCTTAAAAGTTCTTTTGCAAATTCAGAAAACTGATGCTAAAATCCGAGAAGCCATAAAGTTGATATGGAAGCAGGATGGAGTTAGGGGTTTTTTTCGAGGTAACGGGTTGAATATTGTGAAGGTAGCACCAGAGAGTGCCATCAAGTTCTATGCATATGAGCTTTTCAAAAACGCTATTGGTGAATACATGGGTGAAGACAAAGCAGATATAGGCACAACAGCTAGACTTTTTGCTGGAGGTATGGCTGGTGCAGTGGCTCAAGCCTCTATATACCCTTTGGATCTTGTGAAAACTCGGTTGCAGACTTGCACAAGCCAAGCAGGTGTTGTTGTTCCCAGGCTTGGAACGCTCACCAAAGACATACTGGTTCATGAGGGTCCACGCGCCTTTTACAAAGGTCTTTTCCCTTCTCTTCTCGGGATTATTCCATATGCGGGTATTGACCTTGCTGCGTATGAAACATTAAAGGACTTGTCCAGGACATATATTCTTCAAGACGCTGGTAAAATCACTTAATTGCTATTCCCATTATGTCTGATTATGCTTGAACGTAAACTCATAAAACGTGGCTCGGTTTGGACCTCAGAACCAGGTCCGCTCGTGCAACTAGGATGCGGAACAATCTCAGGAGCTCTTGGAGCAACCTGTGTTTATCCTTTGCAGGTTGTGAGAACAAGGTAATTCCATAGCCTATATGCTTCTCCTGTTCTCTATCCCTCAACAAGCATATATCACTTCTTGTGGGCATTTGAAGTTATTTTCTTATATGAAATATATGTCACTGTCACACAGAATGCAAGCGGAACGAGCAAGAACCTCCATGTCAGGAGTATTCAGGAGAACAATAAGTGAAGAAGGTTACAGAGCACTCTACAAAGGGCTTCTACCGAACCTTCTAAAGGTTGTTCCTGCTGCAAGCATTACATATATGGTTTACGAAGCAATGAAAAAGAGTCTAGAACTTGATTGATTAGTGGTTTCACTTCATTTTGATATTGACGAAAAAACGGGAATAATAAAAGGAGAACCTCTAAAACTAGGTTATTTTTAACATACTTAATTCTTCTAAACATCATTTGTATGAGATAATACTATAAGATTCTTGTTTCCCCAAACCTTCAATTTTTTTGTCAAGTGTAGAAAGCTCTCTTTACTTTTTGAGTTCTTAGCTGAGAAATTTGTAGTGATGCTTCTTGACTTTTGCTTTGATGATTCCAATTGTGATCTATAAGGCAATATAAATAATAGAGGTTCCTTGTCTTGGGATAGATTTTGGTGTAGTGGAGAGTGAAAGCAAGTTAGGTAACGTCTTGTCATTTTGGTTTCAACTGAATAGAACATCTTCTCGTTTTGGTTCGGTATATATGATCATCAAGAAAATTGAGAAAGAATTCGACAATTTGTTCTGGGAACAAAAAAATGAGAAAAAGCTAAAGAAAAATCGGTAAATCACCTCATAGGATCTATCAAAATTCAACGTTGGTAGTAAATTAATAATGTCCATTACGAAGTGAGATAGACGAATAATTATTTAATATATGCTCCAATGACAACAAAGTGGACGTGCCGGAGTGGTTATCGGGCATGACTAGAAATCATGTGGGCTTTGCCCGCGCAGGTTCGAATCCTGCCGTTCACGTTTTGGGTTTTTTTCCGTGCACTTTGGTGTAAGAATTAAGAGCACATGTCCTTGCATCGCCGAGAGTCCTAGAGTCTAGAGAGAGCACAAGTAAAGAGAGTATTTTACTAATGATAAATTTGGAAAAAATATATATTATTAACGTAAAATACGCTGTAACCATCTACGAATATCATATTATTTAGCAATATAAATCACTACACATTTCGAGACTGTTCATGATTGTATATTTTTCTCCTTCACTTTGAGAACAACTAAGTTCAAGTGAAGGATTATATGGTTTAGACTTTTAAGTGTCACATAATAAGATAAGTTCAACTAAGTCCAAACGGCCTTGTTTATGAATACTATATGGTTTAGACTTTAAAGTATCACATAATAACACTTCATGGAGTAAGACAACTGATAAACACTGTTTAAGGCTACAAATAACAGATCTCTTTTTCCTTCTTATTCATTTGCAAGCACTATATCTTTCGATTCTCAAATTAATCTAAAATTCTTCAAAAACGTGAAAAGTCAAAGATTTTGAGAGATGACAAAAAAAAAAAAAAAGTTCGAGCCTTTGAGCTTAGTCTCAACACTACTCCTAAAACGTATTTTCCCTTTTAAAACCTTTGCTTCTTTTTGCACCGTTTTTCTCGTCAATATAATTAACGTTGTTACACTTCTCAAGAGAAAAAAAAAAATACAATTTAAACATACGATCAAAAAGCATAAAAGGAAAAGCTACAGTCAAGAGAGTATATATATGTATACAAATATTAATTAAGAAAAAAATATAGTAAGGGGAAGTGAAATTACGAGAAATCACAACTCATGCTTCTTTCTTTTCTTCTTTTGCTTATGCCTTTTACTCTGTTTCTCCTTTAGAAATTCTCTTTGTGGAAGGAGAATCTGGTGCTTGTCTTGTGGGTGAAATCTAAAGCTAAATGCCTTAGCTCCTTTGTCAATGCTGGTGCTCCACAGTAGAACACTCCTGCACACACCAAACCAAGATTCTTTAATCCTATATCACTTTTAATTTCTATATAACCTCGATCGAACATAGTAGAGAAGAAAGATGTGAACTTACCAACTTTGGAGTTAGGATGATCCATAGCTATACGTTTGTAAACATTTCTCCAATTAGGTTTAGCGAAATGGGACATAACTCTTGTTCCAGAGACTATGTCAACGCCGTTCTTTGCATGGTTTAGTGACTGAAGCATATGTATAAGTGCGGAACGAGCGTCTCCTTCTTCATAGACACTTGTACAATAATTATGCATCTCGATGACGCGGTTGGTATCTCGTTCCGCGACTTCGTTCATGATGTTCTTGAACCAATCGAAAGAGCCTTGCTCACGGGTAACCCAATAGAAGTAAGCCCTACGTGTCCTGAAACTCTCTTTCTTGTTTCGTTGTGGTTCGCTTGTTCCGCTCTCCATTCGGTTGAGTTGGGCTTGTTCCTTGGCCTTGATGTTGTTAACAATGTCTTTGACGATACTGATCATTGGTGTGGCTCCAATTCCAAGACCAACCAGTAGAACCACCTCGTACTTCTTGTAGTCTTGTGCTGGTGCACCGTATGGACCATCGATCAAGACTTTCGGGAAGCTGTGAAGTCAGGGTGACTACTATTAGCCAAAGAAAATGAAAGAGACTAACGAGATGGAATTGTTTAGCAACAAACTAAAATATCCTGGTTATAACCAAATATTACGTCAAAAATAAAAAAAAAAATAAAAAAATCTAAACATGTCTCTCTTCATAATCGAATTAACTAACATGCATCTTTTTTAATCTGATATATCTTTCAGCGTTAGTTAGATCAAATAATGTAAGACTATTTTTTAATTACGTATATACCATATTTCTAGTTATTGCTATGTTCACTTTCTCTTGTGATTTATACGAAGATATATCATGAGGTACAAACAAACTATAAGTAGTAATGGTTAAATTTTTTTTATTACTAGATAGTTAAAAATATTAATAGCACCAAAAAGAAAAACCTTATAAAGCCAAAAACAGTTTCAAATTGGAATTCTTAAATGAATAGAATAATCATGCTTATCCAAAACAAATTATTTTGGCATGCATGTGACCAAGTTAAAACCAAAACTAAGTCGAAGAATATATGCAAGTATATTCTTACACCTGGATCTATACATATCTACATGTGATGTGTGCCCTCAAAACCTAGATAGGAAACGAAGACCATTTAAAAAGTCAGCATCTCTTTAATAATTGTTTTTATTTAGAAAAAATGGGAACTTGATAAAGTAAATAAACCATATTGGCAACATAATTGAGGTGATGCAAAATATGTATTTTAAAAACGTAGAATGTTGACATTGCCTAATTAATTATCCGATCACCTTGCAATTTGTTTTAAGGAAAACTTTGAGAAATAAGATATTGCAACCCAAAGATTTACGCGGTCACAAAACACATGGAGAAGCAAAAACATCGTGCTTGCATGATACATATAACCAAATAATGCGTCTCAATCACCTATATAAAATAGTGATATTTGGTTAGGTACATAGTTTGTGTTTTTAGTTGTGGTCTCCCACACCACTTTATTATAATGTATTAGGTACATTGGTCTCCCACACCAATATACTCAACAATGCTTTTCCTAAGTGGATATCACGATTCACGATGATGCATCCGCTCAAAAAACCTTCTAGAACCTATCTTCTATTTAGCATGATTTAGTCATTTACGTGTAGAAGAAATAATTAAGATAACGACGCATGGATCACATTTTTCAAGATATAGTGGTTAGGATTTTTACTTACTCGGGATTATTTGCACCATGCAACATGTCGGCTCTGAGCAGACCACTAACTCCTGCCGGAGGTGGCTTACACACCTGAAACATCACACAAAGTAATTAAAACCATTCATATCAAACTCTTTTAACTTCTAAAACATATTCCTTATTTAGAGACTTTTTAGTAATAACCTCAGAAAAGACTCCTTTGAGAGCCCTTGTCCAATCCCCAAGAACTCTAATGTGAACACTTAAGTAATCATCTTGTGGTGCAGATGTGATTGAAAATGGATGCCTACATTGCATTATGATGAAAACTTATTAGGTATGTGTAAAAAATATGAAGTTATCGGTTTGGTTTGGTGCGTACCATTCAAATGGAGAAACAGCAGCACAGTTAACAAACATGTATTGACCGCTCTTGTATTTGAAGTTTTGAGGCCTTGACAAGTGAATTGCCAAAACGTTTCCTGGATAAACTGCTACTTTCCTAATAGTCACCGCTTTGATGCTCGACCTGAATGCTCTTATCAACCTTTCACACGCGTATAGAATCACTGGTGCCACCAAATACATCCATGTCTGAAATAATTTTCATGATGACCAAATTATTTATCTTGTGATGATTCAAAGAAAGGAGCTAAATTTAAGTTAATGTACCGTTTTGTTGTGCCAGTCTTTGGTGAGATACAAGTAGTATCCATGAGCAACAAGAAGAATGTAGACTATGACAAACAAATGATGAGTGTACCAGAAGGCATTGAAGCTAGCTAGTTTCTTTAATGGTCCTGGAAGATAGTTTAGCTTCCCTCTTCTGAACCAAGGCGTGGCTAGTGTGAATGCAATTGCCATTAACAAAACCATTACGAGTCCGGTGATACCTTCCACCGAGTTTACAAAATGCCAGTAGCTCTTTGGTTGCTCATCCCCGAAAAACTGCCTTAAAGGCCTATATGCCTCTGGAGTTGCTTTTAGTAACCGCGGGAAATCACACGCCAAATGTGCCCCGGCGTGCATAGTTACTCCAACTATAATTCCCACAGCTATAACCTAATGTTTTAAGCATCGGTTTATCATAAGAAAATGCTGAAAACAGAACAAGTTTTAAGATAAGTTTGTTTTTGTTGTTTACCTTGTGGAAGTTGAGATTGTCATCAAATGGGACAACAACACCCAACCTGGTCTTATTCCTAAGCCATGTGATGGTGTTTCTACAAACAGGTAAGAGAATCAAAGCCATGTTCAGCTTTAATGTTTCTGCTGCACCTTTGGCCATGCACACACAATCTCCCATCACTGCATACACAGGGCTACGCTTGTACTGGATGTATTTGTAGGTGAAGAGGATAGCCATAACTATGAGCCATAGTACTATAACCCAACATCTTTTCCAGTTGTCTAACACGAAGAATCTAAGGCCACGGTACCATCGCTTCAATGGATTGCGGTTAAACGTCGGCTTAAGCCTCTGACTCATCATATGGCTCAGATTCTTTCTCTCCCCAGTACTTGTTATCACAGACTGTGTTGCCGCTTGCAAAAGCAGAGTCTCAAGACTCTCCAACTGTTTCAAGATTCACCACAAATGCTTCAGACTCGAGCCATAATATGGTAAATTCAAGCTAATTACTTACCATGATGTATCCTATATTGTCTGGATCCAGCTCTTCCATGATCAATGCTGCATACTCATCAGCTCTCTTCTGAATTGTAGATAGATTATTCGCAGAAGCACTAAGAGTGATAATCTGTGAAACAAAACAACAAGATAAAAGCAGAGTTAACACTGAAACAGAGCAGAGATAACTTATAAAACTCTGTATATTTACCTCTCTAACTTCGTCTTCTGTTAG